GTGAGCTCAGCACTTCTGTTTACTGAGTTGTGCTGTCCATGACAGGTGACACATGCTCACCCCACCGAGGTGGTGTTCTGGCCAGGGATACACCAGTACTGGGAAGGACTGGGGTGTCCTTGCTGCCTGCAGCACAGACCTAGAACCCACAGGAGTAGATTGAGATAAATTAGACACAAGAACTGCCTGTCACGGACAACCACAGCAAACCCAAGGAGAAATGCACCAGAAGTGTTTAGGATTTGTGTCACAAAGGGTACTGCCTCCACTGCACAAAGTCCCGTGAAAGTTAGAAGGGAAAGCGATCAAGCACGCTGAGCAGGAAGCACCGAGCGCAAGGCACTGGGCCTCGACTGACATGAGCTCAGCGCAGATGAGGATGGTAGAGCCGCCCCTTTTCCCGGTGTCACATGCAGGAACTTCGCTGTGACTGCATGTCACGGCTGGGGCCATGCTCAGATGCCAGGGGGCAGTGTGGCAGGCTCATCTCTGCTCACCCGCTCCCAGGAGTGCCAAGGCTTGCAGGCGTCCTGTTGGGAGCTGCCACATGTCACTGCAGTTGCGTTAAAGACTGGACTCATGCTCAGTGGCCACCAGCAGGGAACAGGCTAAATGGAATAGTACACAGCCATAGAAAAAGAAGGTTGAGATGGTGGAAAGAGGAGGAAGATAAAGTGCATCTGCACTACCTTACCTGTGCATAAAAATTCTCTGGAATGGTAAGCATGAAACTGTGAACCGTGGCTGCTGGTGGTGGAGGAAGCTTGTGCATGTGCTGCCTATACAGAATATGTAAAACCAAGCCGGTAGCTGGCCACTGGGGGAGGCCAAATGTTTGGGATGGTTTTGAGACTGGAAAGGGCCAAGCCGTATGGGGAACCGCCTGGTCCTGCGTGGAATCTGCAGGCCTGGGTTGTGTACCGTGCAGGCCAGGGAGAGGGTCTCAGCCCCCGCTTGTCTCCTTGTTTAAGGTAGTTTCTGTTTGTACTAGCGCCTGTTTGCAATGCATGATGCTTTTGTCCATCGTGGGGAGCTGGTGTGTGTACCCGGCATACCGCCTTCCTCTCACTTCCCTGTCCCCTGCCCTCCTTCCATTTCTTGACATTTTCCCTTATTTCCTTGCTGCCTTTCTGGCCAGGGATGTGCCCGTGTCTGGGAAGGACTGGGGTGTCCTTGCTGCCTGCAGCAAGACCTGGACCCCACAGGAGTTCATCATCCTGAATGAGTTACCTTCATCTCTTGTTTTGGTCTTTAATTTATTCATACTTTGGGTTTCTCACAGGAGAAACCATGAGACCGTTAAGCTTTGTGTCTGATTTACTTGCTAATACAGTCTCAAGGTGCCTCCATTTTCCTGCATGACGCAGGTTTAGCCTTCTGCATGGCAGAGTAGTGCTCCGCTGTTTCAGGATCGCTGTTAGAATGTGAGTATGCGTGGATCGCTGTCCGTACCTCTTTACCCCCTTAGCAGGGGAGCGGCTGGCTTGAATGTAATCTCTAGTTCTAGCTCTTTGAGGCTCTTTGCCTCCTGGGATGAGTCACCTCCCGAGAGCCTCAGGGAACTGTTGCTCCCACCTGCCCACGCAGGGCCCCGCCTCCCTCACAGTTTCCCAGCAGCACTGCAGTGCATGCCCTGCCTGATGGTGAGGCCTGGGAGGAGGCAGAGGCAGGCGGCCTGGGGGTGGCAGGGCCGGGGCATGAGAAGGGAAGCGGGTCCCTGTGAGCTTAGGCCAGCTTTGGCTCCGAAGCACTTTGCGAACTGTGTGCACAAAGCCCAGAGTCCTCCTGTCCCCGGCAAGGAGCATTTGGCTCAGGAGCAGTGGTGTTTGGGTCGCCAGGCCCCTCGTCCACAGGACGCGGGTGAATGTGCCCGCAACCTGCATCGTGTTACTCCCAGTACTGTTCCGCTCCTGCAGGCACTCATGGTGAGGAGGTTAGCACAGCAAGGGCGACAAAAACCCGTGACACTCCACCACTGCAAGGCTCCGTGAATATGGTCCTGCGCTCAAAAGGTTTTACTATACCTGTTTTTTTTTTTTTTAAAGATGAGGTCTCTCATGTAGCCCAGGCTGGCTTTGAACTTGGGGCAGTCTTCCTGTCTTAGCCTGCTGAGTGCTGGGCTGACACCCAGCTTGTACTGTTGATCTTAGCAATCTCAGCAGATCATTTTTCTTTCCATACTATGAATTTTCACCTAAAGGAAGCATTTTGAGCATTTCCTAGGCATATAAATTGCCAGCATCTCTGCCCTTGCGCTTTGGGGACGTTACCATATTTCCCTGAAAATAAGACCTCACCGGAAAATAAGCCCCAATTAAGATCATCAGCCGGGCAGGTGTGTTTAGTGGTAACGTGTGATAAGCATGCTGAATTATAAAATAGTAGTGCTAATACATAATTAAATATAAATAAAATTATTGATGTTTATGCTTAAAGTAAATGAGAATGTAAATTGTAATAAGTATCAATATCCAAGTGGGCGCCTTCAGACGAGAACAGGTGGACTGGGGACTTGCGGCCGAGCACCCTGTTGGAGGCAGACAGGACGTGTGAGTAGCATGTGCACGTGATGAGGAGCACGTGTGGTGTCTGGCGCGACCTCCACGAGTCAGTGCGTCATGCACTGCGTGTAACGCACTTGGGAAGCAGAGAAATGCTTTCTGAATTTTGGTGACTACAGTTTTCCGTCGTTTTGCATGGCCATCTGTCATTCTTGTTTTTGAGTACTGGGGATTGAACTGCGGACCTCGCGCTTGCCTGACAGGCGCTGTGCCATTGAGCTGTGTCCCCAGCCCCGGGACCATGGTTCCTAACTGCCATCACTTTTGTTGCCTCTCCTGTCTTCATTAACACTTGATTTAATGGAAACCTAGTGAAGCCTCACCTGCCAGAGCCTCACCTTCACCTGTGACTCGGGTGAAGAGTTCATGGGATCCCGTCACCGCCAGCTCTGTCGCCAGGGTCCCGCAAACAGGGACAGGGACAGGGAGTGCGCACTTAAGGAGAGCTCTTTTTTGGGGGGAGTACTGGAACTCAAACTCACGACCTTGTGCTTGCCAGGCAGCTGCTGTGCCACTGAGCTGTATCCCTGGCCAAGGAGAGCTCTCTCACTGGGCATGGGGGCTGGAGCCCCTGGTTCTACAGGAAATGGAGTCCCAAGAAAGTCAGGCCAGGCTAGGCACAGTGACACATGCCTGTAATGTCAACACTTGTGAAACTGAGGCAGGAGGATCACCGAACTATAGGCCAGCCTGAACTACAGCGAGACCCTGTCTGAAAAACAAAATGAAACCAAAAAAACAAAACAAAAATTCAGGCCAGAATTCAGGCTTCAGAGAGTCTGACGATGTTTTAGAATAGGAGGGCATGACTATCCACGCCTTGCAAAGGAATTCCGTTCCAGAACATTCAAAAGTCAGACTGGTTTGTAAGTTTGACAGTGAGTCTTACGTGTCTCTGACACAGATATACAACATAGAGCATAAAAAACAAAAGCACACACAAACGCTGTAAACAAAGTTTTTACTTTTTCAATTCACTTAAAATGATGGTACAGTACGTATGGCAGCTGCCATATGGAGAGCAGAGAGTTACCAACTGGGGGCGGGAGGGAAGGGGAGCGGGCAGCGTGGAACTGAAGGTCATCAGCAGCAGGACATGAATAAATTGTGATTGTTGAGTGTGAAAAAATGAGACATCCTCTGAAAAAGGGCCCTAAGGCATCTTTTGGAGCAAAAAGTAATGTGAGGCCTGGTCTCATTCTTGGTGAGATACAGTATTAAGTTAAAGAAGGACAACCCAACCACAAGCACCACTAATAACCCAGATGGCTACCGAGAGACTGTGGTGGGTAGCAATACAGCATGGATACGCTGGACCAAGGCAGGGCACATGGCCTGAGCAGGGCAGCTGGGTAGCTGAGGGTACATCACACTACGTACAACAGTCTCAAGCGTAGCAATTTCTCCTGGAATTTCCCAGTGAACATTTTTGGGACAATGGTTGACTACAAAGAAACCACAGATGAGCACGCTGTGCCCGCCGGTCTGAAGGAGCCAGTCTAGGACCTGTGCCATTGCGACTGCAATGCCAGGTGACTCTCGAGCCTTCCTGGATGTGCTCTATGGCCTGTCCCAGCCCAGGCCCTCTGACCTCTGGGGCTCCTTGAGGGAGAGCTCCCACTCTCCTGCCTCTGCTTCCTCTTGCCTAGAACGTGCCCTTGGAGGTGCCCTGACGTTGCCGTCTTAACCTAGAGATCTGAGCATGTCGCCCAGCCCCTGTGCCCAGAGGACCTGAGTGTTGCCCCGCGTGCTGTGCTCTCCAAGAGCAGGGCCTGTGGCGCTCACCCGGCCCACAGTGGCCCGGCTTCCTTTGCACTCTGGCCGCCTCTGCCGCCCTAGGATGTCCTGACCCCTGGCTCCTCACCCCGACTCGTGTCTCCGGTCTTGGTTGGTGGTTTTATTTTCCCCTCCACTGCGCATTGCACCCAGAGCCTTTAACTGAGTTATATCCCCAACCTTTTATATTTTGTATTTTAAGATTTAAGTGTCCCAGTTGACTAGGACAGTCAACCTTTTCATCTTCCTGCCTCAGCCTCCCAGAGCGCTAGGATTTTAGGCCTGGTCATGTCCTGTGCACTCTCTGAAACTGCCTTGGCAGACTTGTGTCTTCTCAGTGTGTGTGAGCAGAGTCAGGAGGTCAGGTTCACACGGCCCCTGCCCTGGTGTGTGTAGCTGTGTGTGCACAGAGTATACTCATGTCAGCGGCTCTAGGTCTGTGCTCCTGCGTGTAGGCCATGTGGGTCTCCACCTGGCTGCTGCCCTCTGTCTTCAGGCTGAGGACTCGGCCCCTGCTGGACACCTCCACCCTGCAGTACACAGTCAGCCCAGCAGATGGTTCTGGAGCAGGGGACAGGAGGGGACAGAGCTGAGCTGGTGTTTCCGACCGTCACATTGGAAGGACCCCGGGCTGCCTCCTAACTCTGTTTTTGGCTCCTGCAGGCCCCGCAGGTTCCCGGTGGCGAGACTACGGTGCCTTGGCCATCATCTTGGCTGGAATCGCGTTTGGGTTTCACCAGCTCTACAAGGTAAGCTGTGCTCCAGGGCCTCGGGGCTGTGTCCTGCCACCCCCTGCCTTCCACCCTTCTCCACTCCCTGGTGGGGGGGTGGGTGCTGCTGCTGCCCCCGGGCTGCAGGGCGCAGCAGGCACAGTTGCCCTACTCCCAGCCCATGCCTGGCAGCCTGGCTCAGCTACTCAGCGGTGCCTGGCATACAGCGACTGTAAACTCACTACGGATGCAGGAACTCAGTAGTTAAAGTATGGGCCCGGGAGCCAGCTGGCTGGGCAACCCAGCCCTGTCTCTGAGGGACAGAGCTTAGGATAGTCGGCTTGTCCAGTGACACAGAATCTGCCGCCGCAGCCTTAGTCACTGCAGTCTAGTATTCCATAAATGATGTGAGAGGGTGCCGTAAAAGAGGCTGTTAGCTGGGCTGAAATCCTGACACCTGGGAGGCTGACACAGGAGGATTGTGAGTTCAGGGCCAGCCTGGGCTACGTGGAGAGATGCTGTCTCAGAAAAACCAGGGAAAAGGCAGGCTTTGGTTAAGGAGTCAGCCTGAGTACAGCCGACACAGGCGTTCCGAGGAGGCTGAGTAGGTGAGGCTGAGCTGCCATGCTGAGGGGCACGGCTGTGCTGGGGTTCCAGGGATGAGGCCATGGTGCCCCCTCCTGCCCTCTGCTGAACATCCTGGGAGCACGCTGCCACATCCTTGCTCTTAGTGGTCAGCCAGCTCGGGGAGCCCCAGGTCGTCCTGGGGCCTCCTCCCCTCCGTGGGTGGCTTGGTGTCTGTATCGTGTGGGATCATCTGGCTTCCTCATCAGCTGCCTGAAGCGGAGCTCTGCTCTGGGCTGCAGGCCCCAGCCCAGTGAGCGCCCTGTTCCTGGGGACCAGCAAAATGCCTGTGTCCTCTAAGAGGTGCAGAGCTATGCTGGATCCCAGATCCATATCTGCTCTCTTTGGAGAGAAGCCTTTTCTCTTCTGAGACTCTGGGGATAGAACCCTTGCTAGGCAGGTGCTCTTTCCTTGAGTTATATTCACAGCCTTTTCTTATTAAGTTTTGTTTTAAGACAGTGTCTATATTGCTGAGGCTGGACTCAGACTCAAGATGCTCCTTCCTCAGCCTCCTGAATCACTGGATTTATAGGTGTGCTAATCTGTGCCGGACTTTGGTGGCTTTTTTTAAAAGGACCTAAATGGACTCCCAGTCTTGCTATTGTAACTTCTAGCATGCAAAATGTGTCCAGACCTCACACCTGCAGGATCTCACTTTGTGACATAGCATGAAAGCTGCTGGCCAGCTGAGCGTGGTGGTGTACACCTAATCCCACTGTAACCCTACGACAGGAGGATTGCAGCCCGGACAATTTAGAGACTCTGTCTCAAAACTTAAAGCAGAGAGGGGGTACTGCAGATGTAGCTCATGGATCGCAGGTTCAGTCTCCTGCACAGGAGAGGGGAAGGAAGAAAATCTAAAAGCGGAACAGCTCTTGCTGGCATTGGAAGTTCCCACGCTGAAATGCGAAGCCAAGTGTCCTGTGTCCTGTCCCTCTGAGCCACTGCCCCTTTCAGGTCATGGCCACAGACAGAAAGACACGACATGGAATTCTCAGGTGAGGGTCCCAGCTATGGGCAGCACCCAGTACCACACATGGTCTTGGGGAGACCCGATGGAACCTGAGACACGGGTTTGAATGGCACACAGCTGTCGCTGCCCGTTTCCATGGAGGAGGTCTCCTGCCTCTGCTTTAAAGGAAAAGAGACACCTAAATGGTCAATCACAAAAGTGACCCAAGAATTTCTAGAACTTCTGTTAGTAGTTTCTTAAAAATAAAAATAAAAATAAAGACAGAGCACGCGATGGAGCAAGGGTGGGTAAGAAGCTGCTGTCTTGTTCTGTAGGTCCATAGGTCCATGCCCGTTTGGGCTGGGTGTGAATGAATGTGCATCTGCCCTCGTCACCTCTGACCCAGAGGTAGAGCCTGTAGCTGGTTCTGCTCTGAGGGTTTCTTGACTTTCATCCTTAGGAAATTTTCCACCTGAAACGTCAGGCTGCATTTGATGAGTTTCGCCTCAGTCGTGGGTAATAACTCACACGGTGGCTGAAAAGCACTTTGCAGAATAGAAAATGCCTCTCTACATATGCTAAATGATGATCTTCACTTAGGAGGCGCCCTCGAAATGACTTCTCCCACAAACCTCTGTGAGAGCCCTTTCCCTCCCCTGTACCCGACCCTTAATGGAGAAGTTTCCGTCTTTTCCTTCCTAGCTGGGGCCCAAAGTTTGGCCTCCCAAGACTGGTGGGTCGAACTGTGCTCACTCAGGGCCACCATTCCACGGTGGTGGACCCACCGCCCTCTGCAGGTCCTGAGCTGGTGGCCTCAGCGCTGCCCTGCAGGCTGTGCCTCAGCAGCCGGAAAACCACTTGTCCCCTGGTGGAAGGACTGGTTCCGGATTTTGTGCATTTACTCCTTTTTTAAAAATCGGCACCGGGAATCAAACTCACTACCATGCGCTTGCAAAGCAGGCACTTACAGGCTGAGCTAAATCCCTGGCCCTTGTGCATTTACTCTTCATCATCTGTTTCTGACTGGGTGTGACAGTTGGTCACTCGTGAGGTTCAGAGTGTTAGAAGAGTCAGAGGCCACCAAGGGCACCGTTTCTTGTACCCCCTCCCCTTTTGCTTCAGCTTTTAGGGTAGAATTCAAACGTCCTGTCGTAGGAGTGTCACCGTGGCACTCCGACAAGTGAAAGAGCCAAGGCTCCTCCATCCCGGTGGACATACTGCTTCTCCTCGGGCTGGGGAGGAGCCTGGGTGGGGTGCAAGCCAGAGCATCCTGGGCGCCATCCAGCACTGCAGAGACAGAGAGAGACGGGCAGACAGACAGACAAACGGGCTTTCCTGGCCCCTGCTCCCTTCTGGCGCTTGTCCTTCTCCAGGCAGAATTGCCCATGTTGTCATAGTCATAGTCTTGTAACTTCTAGAGCATCTTGTTCACTGACGGGGTGTGCGGGACTCCCACCCAGGAGGGGCAAGGGGACGCTGGGCGGCAGATGTGGGAGACAGGCAGCGTGCATACCGCTCCTCCACCCGTTCGTTGCAGAAGTACCTGCTGCCCCTCATCCTGGGTGGCCGCGAGGACAGGAAGCAGCTGGAGAGGATGGCGGCGAGTCTCTCCGAGCTGAGTGGCAGTGTGGCCCAGACAGGTAAAGATTAATGATTCCATCAAGTCACCCTCAAAGCCTGTCCCGCGGCCCTCCCGGCCCCCACCCGCTCCTCCGTCTCCACTTTACGTGGTGACTTCATTTATCTGCTCTGAGAATCTGTTCACATTTGCAAATGAAGCCGCCGTCATTTCGGTTTAATTTGAAATTGCTTGTTTACTGTCGGCGCGGCCTCAATTAATTATGTTTTTACGGAAAGGCTCCCAACCTCAGAATATTAATAAGGGGAATAAAATGACAGCCTTTCTAAGGGCTGTAAAGTTCATTTTTAATTTCTGCTTCTATGAGGTTTTCAGGGGGGTTTTCAATGATTTTCCCCCTTCCCCCTAAGAATCCTATGCAAGGTCAAGAGAGTCTGTAATTACTGTGGCTCCGGGGACCCTGGCCACCTCCTCTGTCATTGACTCCACGGGGCCAGCCTTCATTACCCACTGCCCCAGCGATGGCCCAGATTAGCTGGGACCTGTCGCGCCAGAGGTGTCTTCTCTCTTTTCTAAACTTGTTTACCAGGTGAGGCTCTGAATTGAAAACCTGGAGGCAGGCACGAGAGCTCCTTTCCAGACAAGAGTCTGTGTCCCCTGGGGCACCACTGTGGAGTCCCCCAGAGTCCTCTGTGCACCTGTCCTGCTGATGCCGGCCCTGGATGCCTGCATCATGGTGTGAGGCCTGGGGTCCTGCAGTGGGGCAGATGGCGAGGACCAGATAGGTTCTTAGCACTCCTGGCTGTGGCAAGGCCTAAGCTGTGACCCTGGGACAGGAGGCATCCCCCGAGCTGCCGCTTGGCCATGGCGAGGGGATCGACAGGGCCCACATACATCGCCAGGGCACGGCAGGGCCAGCACACAAGTCCATGTGGCGGCACTCATGTGGCCACTGACTAGCACCATGCTTTCTTCCCCAGTGATGCAGGTGCAGACAACGCTGGCCTCCGTCCAAGAGCTGCTGAGGCAGCAGCAACAGAAAGTCCAGGAGCTGTCCCATGAGCTGGCCACCGCCAAGGTACTTGTCCCTGCACACCAGACCCCCAGCCCAGGACGTCTCGCACAGGCTGTGTGTTGGGGGTGGCCTCTGCCCACGGAGGCTGTCCTTCCTGTCACCACCTGCCTGTGGCAGCCCCACCCTCACCGGATAGAGACCATCACTGTAGGTGGGGACGTCTCTGCCTGCAAGTTAGGGTGCAGGCACAGCCCTGCAGGACCGATTCCAGGTAAGCGCAGGGCACGGTGAGCCCTCCACACAGGTTTCCAGGCCCAGGAAATCCATGAGCCAGGACTGGCTGAGGCAGTTTCCACGCCCCAAGGCTGAAGTCGAAGCAGTCCTGGCAGCGGCGGGTTGTGGCTCAGTGCCTGGGGTAAAGCCTGTGCCCGGCTGCCTGCTGGGTGACGCGGGCGCACTGCTTACCTTCTCAGAGTCTTCCTTACCTATGAGGGGGCTTTGGGGCACCTGCCTCACTGCGCTGCTATGTGCATGGAACAGCGCCGGTGGCAGCCAGCTTCCAGGACAGCAGCCCAGGGTTCTGTGGGTTGGTGACAGCATCTTCCCTGAGGTGCTGGCTTAGACAGGTGGGGCACAGGAGGGGGTGGCCTGGTGGCTCCATGACATCCTCTGAGGGTTTTGCCCAAGCTACTGTGGCAGAAGCCACCCCATCGCCCAACTATATTGTACAACCGGGAACAAGGGCATCTTCCATTTCCAGGGGTGCTAGGGTCCCTGTGCACCCCCTCTGCCACCCAACCCACACAAGTGCTGCCTGCTCCTTCTCCAGCACCTGAGGCCGAGGCTTCCCACAGGCGGGCGGGCACGAAGCAGCCTCTCCCCATTATCTTCTGGATCAGCCAGCAGCCAATCCGGAAATTGGAAAACTGTTTCCAGGCCTCACGCATTCAGATTAAGACCACATGTTGCCCCGTGCGAAGGCGGCGGCCTGGCTGACCCCCGCCTGCTCCCCGTGCCAGAGCTGGGTCCCGGCCTGGCAGCCACCCCACATGTGCAAGGGCTTTAGTTACCCATAAAGCTGGGGCTCGGAGCTGTGTTTTCTCAGCTGTAATGTAAGTTTTTATATCTGGCTTCCCAACTCCTACTGGAGCACTGTAAAAAATTAAAAAGAAGAGCCTTAAGTAATTAAAAAACCTACATAAAACTGAAGGCTGTGAGTTTTCTACAACTGTTTTTAAAGAGACTGGCTAAAAAGCCCCAGATGTCAGATTTTATTTCTAAATCCTGGCATCTGGCACCATGTGCGTTTGGAAATCCGAGTCCTTTGTAGGCCGGTGGTGGAAATTGTTCCCTTGTTAATGGGCTGCAGCAGCTTTCAAGGTCTCCGCGAAGCCAGAACAGTGGCTCCAGGCCCTTGGTATCTGGTGCTCTGGCGTGGGGACCCCTCGGGGACAGCCGAGGTGGTGGCGTTTGCCCACTCCTCCTGGAGTCACGGCCCCACCAAGGGCTTCCGCCTGCACGGGTGTCCTGGGGCCACCCACAGAGGCCCCATCTCGCCTGTCGATGTAGGCGTTTGCTGACAGCACAGGTGGCCCGAGGCCCAGGGCATGGTCCCCATTCCTATTTCTGGCCTCAGGGATGCTGGGTTTGCTTCTCCTTCCCATCCATCGCAGCAGGCTTTGCTCGAGGTGAAGAGTGTCCAGGAGATGACGTCATGGCATGCATGATAGGGCCGTGTCCCTGGGCCCTCTCCAGGGATGACTCCTCAGCTGTTCCACCCATTTCTTAGCCCAGAGAGGCCGTGTTTAAGCCACCTGTGAAGGTGGCTTTGCACACAGCCCCAAAGAGCCAGAGGCCACGGGATGCTGCCTGGCCTCCTGACACCCCAAGGTGGCCTCCACACCACACACTAGTGCATGTGCTGGTGATCTTTCTTGGAAGGGGGCCAGATCTGATTTTAGGGTGCAGCTGGCACAGTGATGGTGCCTGTCCCCCAGTTGTCACACCAGGTCCTACTGCAGAAAGCAGTGTCTCTAAAAAGAAAAAAAAAAGCAGTGTCTGTCACACCCGTGACACCAGTGTCCCCTGAAAATGCATGATGATTTCCTCACGTCACCAGGTGTCTGGTGTGGGTGAGCCTGTTTTAGGGTCCTCCCAGGAAGAGCCTCCTCCCAAGCTGCAGCTGCCCACATGCTCTGACCTGTGCTCCCTGCACTTTGGTTCCAGGCCACCACGTCTACCAACTGGATCCTGGAGTCCCAGAACATCAGCGAACTCAAAGCGGAGATTAATTCCTTGAAAGGGCTGCTTTTGAATCGGTAGGAGGCAAGGCCTACGCTCCGAGTAGCCTGCAGTCAGGGGGGACCCTGTGGTGCCTGAGCAACGAGGCCTTTGGCACGGGGTGTGGAGCCCAAGGGACTTGCACTCTCCCACCCTGGAAGCTCCTTCGCACCAGGACGGTGACAGTCTGTGGCACCCACAAGGGTTTGGAAGCACTAAGGTCCCTGGGCTGTGAGATCTGGCCAGGAAGAGAGGACAGTGTGGCCTCTGAGCGAGGATGATGGCGGCTCTGCTGTCCTTCCTGAGCCCCAGTGACCCAGTGACAGCTGTGCCCAGAGCAAGTCCCCCCCAGTGTCACTAGTGGCGAGCTCTGTGGTGTCCTTCTCCGCCCCTGCCAGCTCCCTTGTTCTCTCTGTTGTCCCTCTGTAGGGACACGCACGTGTTTAGCAGTGCGCACATGTTTAGCAGTGCGCCCACCATTGTAGGCTGCTGCCATGTCCTGCTCAGTTCAAGCCCGTCCTGGATTCGAAGCTCTGTCTTCCTACAGGATGTCCTGTTGGCCATGGTGACTGCTCACGGCCCCTGCTGGTTCCCTGGGAGATATGGGAGGTGGACAGCAGTAGAGAGGCCTGGGAGGGGGCTGGTGGCCTCGGCCTACCTTCAGATCCCCTGAGGCAAGGAACAGGTCTCTGATACTGTGGCCCAGTTTAGGGGTTCCCTGGGCTTGTTGCTGGGGGACTTCTGTGCCCCGATTGTACAGAATCTAAGAGATGGCTCCTCCGTGGTGGGAGACACGGGCAAGGAGGCTACAGCTGGATCTGTGTCACTGCCATGACACAAGAGTGATGTGCGTCATCGGGGCGTTGGGGGAAAGGGACTGCCTCCGAGTGCAGTGCTGGGAGACAGTGGCAGCCCAGGGACAGGGCTTGGGGTCTGTCTCCTTGGCTCAGGTGGAGGCGGGCCGCGTGTCACTGAGCTTCTCTTGGAGCCATGGCCAGGCTGACCTGCGAGGCCCTCCTGGGCCGCGTGGGCACCGAAGCAGACAGAGCTGGCCCTTTCCTCCCAAAAGCCTGAGCCACAGGGGCTGGTGAAGTGCTCTGCGGTCACCCTTGGGTGCTGATGTCCTTGACCCTCAAGCACAGGCTGGGCACTAGGGTCCCTGCTGCCACCTTTTCCAGGCCATAGAAAAAGCTCCCACCTGGCCTGGGTGGAAGTGGGGACAGCACCGTGGTCACAGGCAATGCAGGGCCTTTCTGTCAGCATCTTAGCTGCTGGAGCCAAGGTCACCAAGCCACCAACCTCTGCAGCGTCTCCTTTCTCCCTCCTTCCACCAGGAGGCAGTTCCCACCGTCGCCGTCAGCCCCGAAGATCCCCTCCTGGCAGATCCCCGTCAAGTCGCCGTCACCCTCCAGCCCTGCGGCTGCCAACCATCACAGCAGCAGCGACATCTCACCTGTGAGCAATGAGTCCACGTCACCCTCGCCCGGGAAGGAGAGCCACAGCCCCGAGGGCTCCACAGCCACCTACCACCTGCTGGGCCCCCAGGAGGAGGGCGAGGGCACAGTGGACGTGAAGGGTCAGGTGCGGATGGAGGTGCAGGGCGAGGAGGAGAAGAGGGAGGACGAAGAGGATGAGGAGGATGACGACGTGGGCCACGCCGACGAGGAGGATGTGCTGGGGGTGCAGAGGGAGGACCGCCGGGGCGGGGATGGGCAGATCAACGAGCAGGTGGAGAAGCTGCGGCGGCCCGAGGGTGCCAGCAATGAGAACGGGCGGGACTAGAGCTGCCAGGGACCGGGCACAAGCAGGGCGGGGGGTGTGGGCTCCATTGCTGGGCTGATGCGTGCCCAGCAGCCTTGTCGCCCTGCCCGGTCCCTGGGGTAGACGACACCTGGGCCTGGGGCTCCAGCCCTGTCCACCCTCCCGGGCCATGTCCTGGCCAGGGCGCGTCTGCCAGGTGTCTTGACTAACGTGGCATCCTGCATGGCAAGAGCTCGTGTTGTCACCATCTCCTCCTCAGTGGGGAGGAGCCGCAGTCCCCCTGGTCTCTGCTGTACCCTCCTGTCCCCCGGGCCGGGCCCGTGACTCCACCTTTGGCCTGTTTCCAAAAGCCAGAGCCCTGGCCTCGCTGTCCAGTAGTCCCCGCTGAGCCCGCCCCACGTGCCCTGCCACTCAGACGGCAGTGTCTCACTGCGCTTGTGCCCTCCTCGACGCGACACGGTCCCCTCCCGCGGTGGAGCAGCAGCCAGGCCTCCTAGCAGCCGCACCTGTCCCCGTGTGGCCGTGAGCGGCTGTACAGAGCTGTAATAAAGACGAGTCGCCACTCCTTAGCGCCCGCCTGCTGCTCCTCTCTGCCCATCACCTGGGACCGTGCGGGGGCGCCCACCACGGTGCCTCAGGTGACCTGGGAGCCGGGCCCAAGGAGTGCTGCCCTCCTGCCGCAGGCCCCGGGCCGGGCCGCACGGGCGACAGCGCTGACAGCAGCGGGCGGGACCTCGGTGACTGTATACAGACCTGCTGCTGCGGGAGCGGAGCGCGCTGCCTTCCTTAAATGGTGCACATTCCCCAGCCGCCGGCGGCCGGGCTCCTGCTCATCCTCTCCGCTCCGCCACCCCTCCCCACAGCACCGGGGCTGCCCCAGGCCCTGTGCCTCGGTGCCCCCCGGTGCAGCATCCCTGAGCCTGCACTGCCCGTCTGGGGAGTGGCCCTGGCCAAGGCCGCTGTCACACATGCAGTGGGATGCGCCCGAGCCCTCCTCTGGGCAGCTCGCTACTGCTCCGATGGGGCAGAAGCCACAGCAGCCTGCTGTCTGCTTGTTCCCCTCCCCTGAGGGCCTGCCGAGGTGACAGGTTGCCTGAGCTCTGGACTGCAGCCCCCAGCCTGTGTGGGTCTGTGCTTCTGCGGGAAATGAGCCCAAGGGAGAGCTACCCGCTAAGCTCTTCCTGTCTCCCGGCCCTGAGTCCCCACGGAAGCCAGGTGTCCCAGCTGGCTCAGCCCTGAGGGCCAGCAGGGGCCCGAGCAGGCCCAGCCTACGGCCAGTACAGTGACTCCCACAGGATGGGGATGGGACGCCATGGTGGGGAGCAGCGTTACTGGGGAGCCTGGTGACCATTTATCACCGCTGTCCCTCAGGACGACACCAGACAGGGAGACCTGAGCAGAAGCAAAGCCCCCACCTCAACAGGAGGACGGTGCTCCTGCCCCGGGGCCCCGTGAGGCTGGGGGAAGGGGCTTGCAGCCGGGGCGCAGGCCTTCACCCCTTGGGTCCTGAGCGCCGGGTTCAGCCTTTGAGGACAGAGAGGCTGGCGCGACTTCAGGGAGAGAAAAACCCCTCCCCAAAACGGCGTGAGCGCTGCCTAATAAAGGCAGCTGCTGGACGAGGGCAAACAGCCTTTGAAAAAAGCCTTTCATTAGAAAAATAGTGCATTTCATCCAAATAAGGTAAAAATATTCGGAATGGGGCAGAGGCGAGCAGCAGGCAGCGCCTGTCAGGCCCTTTCTGGAAGGGAGCAGATTATTAAACTCAATTACGATGGCGTTTTACAAAGTGTCCTTCGGGAAAGGACGGGGCCCGTGCTTGCTGGCCACGGGCACCGTCCCGCCCCCCGCAGGCTCCGTGACCCCCTTCAGGCCCCATCTACCCGGGATGCGGGGCCTCAGTGGCATTCATGGCGCCAGGGAGGAGGTGGGAGGCACCTGGGCAGTGGTCTTCTGTTCGGGGTCCCCAGGCTGCTCAGGATGGGCATGTGTGGTCAGGGAAATGGGTGGCAGCGCCCCGAGTGTCCTCCATGGCAGAGTTCTGGATCAGACGTCTTGGGAATGGAGAGGTCACAGCGAGTCCCCTCTGCCTCACAGCAGCCGTGTGGCTTCTGTCCCTGTCTCCTTGGGCTCAGCACAGATCCCTGTCCCCAGGAGACTGGCCTGAGGGTGGGTGCTGCAGTGACCCACAGTGTGGCAGTCGGGCTCTGGAGAGGGTGCTGGGTCTCCCATGGGAAGGTGGGGTGGCCCGCAGCTGACAGTGGCCCTTTCTACCACCTGCGCTGGCTGTGCCTCCTGGCCGCCCTGCCCACGGGGACAGCTGGGTGAGGGGGGGGCCTCTTTGTGTCCCGCAAGCCTTCAGGTGCTTCTGGTTTCTTTTTCGGTACCAGTGTTGGACACAGGACCTTTGCGCTGGGCTACCCGGCCAGCCCTTTTATCTTTCATTTTGAGATGAGGTCTATACTGAGTCTCTGAGTTGTCCAGCCTGCGCTCAAACTCCTGCCTCCTGCCTTGGCCTGCCGGAGTACTGGGATCACAGGTGCCCACCACATTCAGCAGCTCCTGGTGCTGGGGACGCCCCAGTGCTTGTCCTGCTGTCTACAGGCCTGACCTGGGCTTGGCTGCCGAGCTTTCTCCCTGTCCCTGTGGTCTGAGCCTGGGCCAAAGCTACCTGTGTGGCCAGCACCGCTGCTCAGCTCGGGTAGCAGCAGCTAATTAAGTCCCAGAATGAAAGCGCTTTCCTGCGCTTCCTCCTCCCAAAGGGAGCAGCCTCGGGCTCCCTTCCCTTCTGGGCTCAGGGTGGGGTGGGTGGGGCACAGTGTCTGATCATGGAGCGTCCTCCTCATGCCCTCTGAGGACAGAAGGTGGCGGAGGCTCACTGCAGGAAACCCCTGGGACTCGATCCCTCCTTGGGCCCTTCCTGGAAGGGCCCCAACTGGAAAACTGGTCATGGGGTCCACTGTCCCCTCAGAAGACCTGGGGGAAGAGAAAGGTGATGGTTTGGGGTCTGGTCAAGGTCAGCAAGCCTCCCCAAGGTCGCATCCTGTTCTTCCTCTCCTGGGCCTCCAGGAGCTGACACCCAGGCCCTGTCCTGATGCCCACTGTCCCCTCCTGGCACCCTGTGGCCACAGCACCCACCGCCACCCCCGGGCTGAGCTCGGCCTTGGCTCCCAGCCTCCTCCGGCCCCACGGGAGGCCGCGTGGCCACCAGCGCCTGCAAGGCTCCAGTAATGGTTTTAATTTGTTGAACTTGTGTTTTATCCCATAAATTAGTCACTGTTTTATTTAACAGAATGGAGATATCCACAAATAGGCGAGTTCCAACTTGAACATTTTAATAAGACCGAGAAAAGTCTGTATGCTCGTGTCTGCTGCAAACATGTTTATGTAAATAGCCTGTGGGCGGTGTTCCAGGCAGCGGCCGCGCTGTGTGGGGCTCTTTGGTGGGAAATGACACCAGGCCACTGTTGAGGGCCAAAGGACACCTCTTTGGTCCTGGTGGAGCCCAAGCATACCTGGCCCAATGAGGGACAGGTGTGTGGCAGGAACCCTTCTCATGAGCCCTGCACAAGTGGGCGTGACATTCCCTGGGGCAGGAGTGTGACACGCCAGCAAGATGCACCTCAGGACAGGGATGGGACCACATGTCCCCTCTCTGAGGCCCCGGGCAGCTCCGGCACCTGGAGACAGCAGGACAGGAACAGGCAACCAGGGCCCACAAAGTCCAGGGAATAGGCAAGGCCGCGCCTGGCGGGAGCCCTGCGTCACAGTGCCACCCCGGCCTGTCGTGTGGGCTTGGCCTGGAGGCCGCAGGCCCAGCACTGGGTCCCACGCTGTGTCACCGTGCATTGTGGGCAGCAGCCTTGCCAGCATCCGGATTGGATCTGGGTACCGGGCTTTCCCAGCCCGGGCAGGCCCCTGCAGGAAGGAGCGAGGGGGCCAAAGGGGGCCCAGCCAGGGAAGGACACGGGAGGCCTGGGGCAGCCCTGCCACCCGGCCTGATGCCAGGGAGCGAAGCTGCTCCGTCCCCCGATTCCGCTGCGCTCCACATGGCTGTCCCCTCCCCACTGACATCTGAGGCCCAGCTGAGTCGATGCCAGCTTCCGGGGGGGGGGGTGATTTTAAAAATAAAAGATAACTTGATGGATTTTTTTCCAGTTTTTATTGAGTGAAAATGTCAAACCTTGCATCAGTCATGCAAAAAAAAAATCAAATAAATAAAACACATATATTAAATTTCTAATAGCACTAAATTCAAGTGGAAAAATATTCAGTTCTTAATAACCAGGTGCCGAGGAGACCAGATTCAAGTAATCAGAGCACACGCTGTTCAGTTCGGTTTCACGGTCTGCATTTTTTTTTTGTCTCAAAACCTCTCTATATATCTCTATATATCTATATATGTATATACATATAGATATATACACACATATGTGCATACATATTATTTTATATTTATATATATACACATACATAGTTATAAAACATTAAAAAGAGCATCGGTGGATCAAGCATCGTTTTCCCCACAGAAAGAAAATAAAATTACACATTAAAATCCCAAATGAGCTAGCAATGGCTTATAGTCCTAGTGTGCAATGTGAAGGGGACAGAGGCCGGACTGGGCGCTGTCCGCGTCCTCTCTTTTTTTTTTTTCTTGGTTTTATGCTGCTACATTGAAAAACTTTATTTTTCCTTTACAAAACTCCTTCCACAGACACAGGGTCCCATGGGAGTGTGGAGCCTGCGCCCCGCTCCGCAGCAGCACGGGCACCCACAGAACTCGGGGGGCTCTGGGGAGGGCGTGGGACTCAGCCTACTTCCTGTTGAACTCAGTACACTATGACCACTCCTCCTGCCCTTCCTACTCCTCTCCAGTTGGGATGGGCCTGGCTTTCTGGCTGTGGGTGGCAGAGGGGATACACACACACACACACACCAAAGATAAAAAAGGAAAGGGAGGCTGAGGCAGGAGGGATCGCTGCAAATTCAAGGCCAGCCTAGACTACACAGTGAGTTCAAGGCCAGCCTGAACTACAAAGCAAGACCCTAAAGAAAAAAAAAAAAAAAAAAAAAAGGAAAGAAAGCCATGCCCTGCTAGCAGGATCCCTGGAGAGCTCCGGCCAGGCGCCTCTGGTGACAGCCCTGGCCTGGCCTGTGGCCCCGCCCGGTGCACCTGCAGGTAAGCCTGTGTGAGGCTCGGAAGGCCCCGCCACCCCAGGAAGAGAGATTTTGAAAAGGGGACCAGGTCTGGGTGGGCTGCACCAGCAAAGAAGCACCCCAAACAAAACAAACTGGAACGAGGAGAGCGCCCTACAAAGCCACACAGAACTGAGAGGAAACTCAAATGTTAAATTAATTACGAACTTGGATCAACAGTAAGAGTCTGTTTTTCTTGTCTCTACAAAATTCAAGTTAGAAGCGGGGTCGTGCGGCTCCATCAGTGCTAGTGTGAAGACAGATGGCCTCAGACCGCTAAGGCCTCGAAATCAGCGCCACCCACAACCCCGCGGGGACATTGCACTCGGCTCCCCAACCCCGGGCTGGTCCGGAGGTGGCCCGCCGCGCCCGCCTGCTGTTTACTCTTTTTGTTCTATGGAGAATAATAACCTTTGCAGGAAAATACTGTACAGCTTTCTGGTATCTTTTCCCATTCTGAATATTAAAGCCAAAACAGCCACATCTTTCTGGTCTGCACCACCAGGCTGGCTGAGACCTCGGCCCCAGGTCGCGGGGACACAGCTTCCGCTTTGGGGGTGACTGGAAAACTGCACAGACCTGACCCCAGCCCAGGGGAGGGGACAGTGCGGCAGCTGGGCCCTGGGGCGGGCTGATTCCAGGATTCCCTCCACGTCCCTGCAGTGTCACCCACGCTGGCCACCTCCTGCCCACCCTGCCCTGGGTAAAGGGGCATCTTAGCTGCACTTGGTTGGGGGCCCCTGCTGGAGGCTGCAGGTGCTGGCTGCCCCAGCAACGGGGCGGGTTCCTAGGTGTCCCCGGCAGCCCTGGGTCCTGAGCAGTGGACAGTCTGGCCTGCGCGGTGTGGTGCTGACTATGGGGTCCCCTGACGGGAGCACCTGCGCTTTCCCTGAAGATCCCCGACTGCAGCCATGCAGGGTCCTCGGGCGGCCTAGGCTTCCAGCCGCTGAGCTGTGCGTCTGGCCCGGAGCACCAGGGGTCCCCGCCTCTGTCCTGAGACGGACTCGGGGTCCAGAAGCACCGGCGGGGCGCGGGTACCTCCCCTCCCAGGTCCGGACAAGCGGGTGGGCGGGGGGCTCTGTACAGAGGGCAGCGTCACAGACACAGACGGCAGGGCGACCGTGTGACCTAGGGCGAGGCAGCGGCAGGCGCTGGCCCTGGGGTGCCCAGGGCGGCCAGGGCCGGGGTCTCAGCCCCAGCCTCCGGCAGGGACTCCTCCGAGTCGGTGCGCAGGTCCTCGTCCTCCTCGTCTTCATCCTCGTCCTCATCCTCGTCATCCTCGTTGTCGTCCTCGTCGTCGTCATCCTCGGCCTCCTCCTCCTGCAGCTCCAGCTCCTCCTCCTCGTCCTCCTGGGAGGACTCCCCCGTGGCCTGGATGCCAGCGCCGGCTGGGCCAGGCCCAGCGGGCCCCTCCTTCGGGCCGGGGGCTGCAGCTGTGGCGGCGGGCGGGCCGGGGTCACACGCGTCACCTAGCGCCAGGCCCAGGCCGGCGGCGGCCGCTGACTGCAGGAAGAGCAGGGACCCCCCGGGCTCGGCGCCCAGCGCCAGCGCCCCCTCCAGGCCCCCCGGGGAGGGTGAGGGCGAGGGCGAGGCTGCGGGCGGCTCCCCGCGCTCCTGCTTCTCGTGCTTGCGCTTGTGCGAGTCCATCTGCGACATGCCCACCACCGTGTGGCGGCAGCCGGGGAAGGTGCAGTGGAAGTGCGAGCACTTGAGCTTGTACTTGCAGTCGGGCACCGCGCAGTCGGCGCTCGAGCTGAACTGGCAGAAGCCCGCGGCGCTGATCACGTCCTGCTTGCCGTGGTGCTTGCGGTGCGCCGTGACCTTGGTGCTGTCGGTGCAGCGGAAGCGGCAGCGCAGGCAGTGGAAGTGCGTGCTGGTGCCCGAGAACGGGCAGTCGGCGAAGTGGCAGCTGAGCGAGGCCTTGAAGCGTTTGAAGTCGTCCAGCACCAGGTTGTCCACGCGGTCGTGGTGCTGCGCGTGCTTGTACATGTGCGTGCGCCCGCAGAATTTGTAGCCGCAGTTCTCCCGCGTGCAGTGGTAGTGCGTGACCTTGAGCGAGAATTGGCAGGCCGTGTCCCTGCAGTCTTCGTAGAGGTCGAAGCGCCGGAAGCCCTCCAGCATCATGCCCTCGTCCAGCATCTTGCGTGAGGAGGCCGTCTTCCGCCGCTTGCCAAAGGGCGACATGTCCTCGATGATCCAGAAGCGCTTTTTGGCCCCTGAGGCGGTGGGCATGGAGATGGTGTTCCCTGGGGAGGGTCGCAGGAGGTCAGTGCAGCAGGGCTGCCTGTGGCACCGTGCCCGGTACCACACCACGCGGGCCCCTTCCCACACCGTGGCCAAGCGAGTCCCGGGTTGGCCCTGTCCTCCAGATCTCAGGCCTCCCGGTGCCCCCGACCAGGTCAGCAGGGAGGCCGAGCCGCTTCCTGGCCAGTACGTATGATCAGAATATGAGGGTGCTAATACAAGCCGAAGGGGGATCTAGGTCAGCAGGGTAACTGTCCACGCTGGGCTGGGGCCAGGATGCCATGACACGCCTGCCTCTAACAGGGACAGGTCGGCTGGTTCCCCAGCTGCCCGGCTGCCTAAGGCGCACAGGGGACCTGCCTGCTTGCCACGGGGCTGCACCTCTGTGACCCTCCTTGGCACCAGAACTTTCCCATTTGTTTCTGGTAAAGGGACTTGAACCCAGGGCCTTGCACTGAGCTAAGTCCTCTGTCCTTGTATTCTTTTAACTTTCATTTTCCTTAGTACTGTTTGCAGTATGTAACAATTACATTCATCCCCTTTTTTAGATTTTATTCTGAGACAGGGTCTCACCAAGTCACTAAGGAGCCCAGGCTGAGCCTGAACTTATAATTCTCCTGCCTTAACCTCCCAGAGTGCTGGAATTGTTGGCTTTTGCCACCACGCTTGCTATATTAGAAGGTTCCTTGAGGTCCTCGTTTGGTGTTTTCTGCCCTGAGCTGGACCGAGAGGCCAGGCCTCAGGAGCTAATCATCAGGAAGGTGTGCCTGCCCTCTCTGCCAAAGCTCTGCCCTGGCCCAAGACCACGAAGGGGCTCAGTGGCAAGTGGGGGAACCATCAGTGCCCACCCTGGCCCCAGACTGCTTCCAAGGCACAGAGACCCCGTGGCCAAGGACTCTGGTACCGCTTTTCTGGGAGACACTGGCTGCTAGGCAGAGGCAGCTGGCTCTGACACTGTCCAGAAACTCCAGAGACCCCAGGCTCAGCCTCAGGGCAGGACAGGCATGGCCCTCCCTGGCCTACCTAGAAAGCCCGGCCATCACTCTGCTGTCTATGGGACAGGCCCAGTCGCCTGTCCTTGGCAGATGGGAGAAAAACCTGGGCCAAGGATGTGCTGGGGGTGCTGGAGGGCTCAGGCCTGAAACCCACAGGGACTGACAGGGCCACTGTGCTCCCACGGCCGCAGGGCGCTGTTACCACACCAGCAGCGGAGCTTCCCTGACCTGGTTAGTCATCCCCTGGCACCTGGACCATGTGTGCCTGGGCAGGCGTGAGCTGGAAGGGGGCTGACAGAGAAGCAGACTGGGTGACATCTCCACCCAAGGGCCAAGAGCAGGCAGTGACCCCACAGGGCTGGGGCTCAGGACTCCCCAAACCCAGGCAGGTCCCAGAGGGGCCCTGAGAGCAGCAGAGACAGGCTCCGTCCCGCCCAGGCCCAAGGACATCCACAGGCCACGAGAGGGAGTCTGGTGCGGTTGCTGGGGGCCCTGCCCTTCGCCAAGAAGCAGCAGGTCCTGAGGGAATGAGCCGAGCCTGGGGAGCCGTGCGGGGATGGAGCCGAGCTCTCGGGTGCTTCGCCCTCCGAGGTGCTGGGCCGTCAAGGGCGCAGGGTGGCCCTGCCCTTGGCTCAGCTGGCCGCAGAGAGGGGCCAGGGCCTAGGCTACGACCGGAGGAGCAGGCAGGGGGACAGACACTGTGAGAAGGTGTGTGCGAGTTACCTGCGGCGTCCTGAACTAGGGGGACGTCACTTTTTACTGGAGTTGGACTGGCAGTGATGGGCGGGAAGCTGGGCGGGCTGCTGATGGGGTGGGCCAGGCCCCGGCTGGCTCCCAGGCTGGCACCGAGCAGAGAGTATGAGAGACAGGACGGAGAGAAGAGGCATGGGAGGGTGGGGAGGGCCGGCCGCAGCACGGCCGGGGGGAAGGACGGAGCCAGGGGGGGCTGCGGGGCCCCGCGGGCAGCCTCGTCACCAGCGGCAGCAGGAGGAGGAAGAGGAGGAGGAGGAGGAGCCGGGCAGCCTGGAGAGGTGGAGAAAAGCAGAAAACAAAACAAAACAAAAAGACCAAAACAAAGAAAAAACAAAAAGAACCAAAATGAGAAACCCAATGGCAGAAGCAAGTATGGTGTGAAAACATGTGGACAGATGAGCAGAGAGAGTGCGACACAGATGGGAGGGCAGGGGAGGGGACAGCCCGGGGCCTCGCCCGGGCGGCGGCAGCGGACCTGGGCCGGGCCCACCCCGCTCACCTGCCGCTGTGCTCTCGTTGCCCACCGGCGTGCTGGAGCAGCTCCGGTCCATGGTGGACGACTCGGAGGAGGCGGCGCCCGGGCTGCAGCCCGTGTAGTCCATGCCCTCATCCGTCTCGGCGTCCATCAGGCTTGGCGGGCCCTGAAAGGCAGCGGGGGTCCCTGAGGAAGTCGGCCACGGGATTGGGGCCTGGCCCTCGGCCCGGGAGGGGAGCACGGGCGGCGGGCCGCGCATCCTGGAGGCCCCGTGCTCACCTGGGCCGGGGGCGCGCGGTCGAAGTTCTTCCCCAGCATCCTCCGCATGTGCTTCCGCGCGTGGGAGGTCATCTGGTGCTTGAGCAGGAAGGAGAACTGGCAGCCCTCCCGGATGCAGTGGAAGTGGCTGTTCACCTGGTTGTACTTGCAGCCTGCGGACACAGCCCGCCAGGGGTGAGCCGTCCAGGGGCCGGGGCTCAGCCCCGCGTGTCAGCTCTGTCGTGAGCTGGGGGAGCGGCTGGCCAGGCAGGTGCGTCTCTTCGGGGCCCCAACCCCACCACTCAGCCCCCCAGCCTTGCACAGGAGGTGGCGAGCGGGCCCCAGCCCCGCCTCGTGTCTAGGAGGCCCGAGCTCCAGGGACCTGTCCACACGGTCAGCCACCTCCTGGCAAGCCATGTGTCCCCACACCTCCTCTGGGGGCCTGGGGTGGTGTCTGTGCCCCCAACACTGGCCGCCACAGCTGGCCTCACCTGACCCGCCCACCTCTGCTGCGCTGCGGCCTGAGAACAAACCAAGCAGGCAGGGCTGAAGCAGCATCAGCCAAGGGCAGGTGAAGGCCTGCCCGTTGCCATGGCACCAAGCTGGCCAGGTGTCTCATATCATCCCCCACCTTTGTTTGGTCCCAACTACCACCAAAAACACCCAAAGTTGAGTAAATAATGGCAATTACAAAATCCCCCGACATCTGTAAACTGAGACTCAAGACGCATAGGCCACCCTGTGTTGACACCTGTTGCCATGGTTACCGCCCCTCTCCAGGCCATGCATCCTTTCTGAACTAATACTTGAAGGGAAGGTTCTTTTCCTTTCTTTGCTGGCAACTGACTCGGACTATCTCACCCTTCACCTCTGGAGGGGCCAGCTCCCCCAGGACCCTGCTGCCATGACCACAGGCCGCAGCAGGCTTGGCCTGCAGCCTGGGGCCTCTGCCTGTCTGCCCCACCTGCCCTCCAGGTTCCAGTTATTCCCGGGAGATTCCGGGCCCACATCTGCAGGCTTATAACTGTGGCTCCCTCCTGAGGCAGAGGGTGGGCTGTGCCCTCTGCCCGCTGACCCTTGAGCTCTCTGCCCAGGAGAGCCAGAGGCGGACCAGCGAGCTCAGCAGCAGCAGGGTGGACCCCGAGGCATCTGCTGCCGAGCTCAGGGCTCCCCGTGGCCTCTTCCTCACACACTTGTGGCCACTGCCTTCCGGAGTCCCCTGCCCGCCACTAGCTGAGCACACGAGGTATTGACTGTCCCCAGCAGGTTTCCAGCACCAAGCCCAGGCCAGCACACACCAGACAACCAATCCTAGCGGCCACTACACTGTCGCCACCCGCCCCAGTCAGCAGCAGCGCACAGCTGCTCCTCAGTCAGTAACTGCAGGATGAGTGGGGGAGTGGATGGCTCATTTTGGACAAAAACCTCATAATTAAAGCCAGGGAAAGGACCCCTGGATGAGCAATGTCTAGAACCCCCAGGCTGACCTGCATGGCCTCGCGGAAAGGGAAAGAGAGCTGAGCAGTGAGGCCCAGGACATCTGCCTTGGCTAGAGAGGCACTCCCAGGGTGTTTGGGCTTGAACACTTTGTGAGTCTGTGACCTCTTTAACAAACCATGGTGTCAGAGGCGGGAGGACACAGGTGCCACTGGTCAGCAGGGCCCAGGGGTCTAAGCCACAGTCCCCGCCCTGGCCGTAAGTACCTAGCCGGCCACACTCCTCGCGCTTGGTGAAGTACTTGAACCCATTGGCCGCCCGCCGCTCAGCCTTCTCATGCTTCTTTATGTGCCACGGCAGCTTGGTGGTGATGTTGGTCACAAAATAGCAGCCGGTCCGGAGGCAATGGTAGTGCCCGCGCATCCGGAACTCGCAGTGCTGCAGGGAAACACAGCAGGCTCAGGACAGGTGGAGAATTCCTGAGCTTCTGCCGTGCAGGCCTCAGGCTGTGCAGGCCTTTGGTACTGTGTTCTTCCTCTTTCAGAATCAGAAAGCACAATTGTGTACAGATCTTTCATATGTTAAAAGGCAGTTTATCCCTTTTGCCATGTTACTCAAACATGGTAAAACTCAACTAAGCCCTCACTAATGTCACACTCAGAGCAGACATCACTAATCTATTTTCATTCTTCCCATATGCCAACCTAGGCAGACATCACTAATCAATCCACCCACACACTCTTCCCTATATGGACAGATCTAGACAGACATCACTAATTCACACTAGCACTCTGTGTGCCCAGACCTAGGCAGACATAATTAATCCATCCTAGCAGTCTTCCCTGCAAACCTAGACTCAGAACAGACATTAGTAATGTATCCCGGCAGTCTTTTCTGCACACTCAGACTTTTACTCCAGCTCCTCAGGTAGTCCTTGCCAGTCGAGGGAGTAGGCCTTTTAAACCTGTCCTTCCTGTCTGGGTCTGGACAATTCTATCCCTTTATTTATCCACGAGCCTGTTTAAAAATTCTGGGTGTCTGGGGAAAGGGCCATAGCTAATGCTGGGAGAGGCAGGAAGGATGTCACCTGCCCAGTTAGCCACCCGGTGGGGGTCTGGACTGAATGACAGACCTCAACAACGTGACACCAATCTGGTTCCCGACCCAGAGTCCACTGGGAACCCAGGGGCAGACAGTGTCCTTTCTAGAGTCTGGTAGAAGCCAATTTAAGAAGGGTGTGAAAAGCAGAGTCTCTGCCAGGAGGAGCCTGTGCTGGGCCCTGTGCCTCCCCTGCCCGGCCACCCTCTGCCCGCCACGCTGACCTGGTTGGGACAGAGACACTGCAGGGAATAGTAAGCGAACTGGTCTCGCACGTTCACCAGGCTGTTGTTGGGGTTGATGTGGTCCAGGCAGTGGGACTCAGCCTTGCCGGAGGTCTTGCAGACATACTTGCAGTTCCCAAAGAGACAATGGAAGTGGAACTTGTTGGCGTACTTGCAGTCCGTGGCGAGGCAAGGATCACTGGAAGGAAACCATAGCCCAGAAGGTCATTGGCATTTCCAAGCCCTCCCTACTGGTGTCCTGACTTTACCTGGATTGGGGTTCACTCTTCATTCACCAGTGGTACAATCAAGAGGAATGGCCCTGGACTAGGTCTCCTGCTCAACAGGCCAATTTAGCTGGAGACTACAGATCCCAGCATGCATTCCTGCCTCCTTTTAGGCACTTGGCCTGGTGCATAGGGATTGCGATGTGCAGGGTGCCCAGAGCATTGCATGCTGGGACATGTAGTTTCCACGGCCACACCTCGAGATTACAGATAAGAGTGGCTGCAATAACTTCTTGGATGTGAAAATAAGGATGGTGCTGCCAGCCCTGGCAGGGTGCCCGCGAGGGCCTGGCTGGCCTGGCACTGCCTTGGATGTGGCTGACTGACAGCCTGCAGATGGGTGCACAGCCCTACCAGGAAGCGCTGCTGCTGTGGGACCTCAGCAAGTAGGGACGTGTGCCTGGTGTCAGCCCTGCTGAGGCGCACAGCTGCTAGGGCTCCGGGTCATCTGAGGCCTGGGCACCCTCCCACTCGGAGCGCCCAGGAGCCAGGGTGGCAGGGCTGGTGGCAGGGGTGTGGGGAAGTGCTGGGACTGCTTGAGAGGGGGCAGGAGGACTTGGGCCTCCAGCCTCCTGTCCTGGTTGTCAGCACTGCAGTGCCTGGATGGTAGACCCATTGTGGGCCCTCTGCTCAGGCCCCAAAAGCTAAGGGGCTGCCACTTTGCGGGGGGAAGCGAAGAGGGACAGAGAGGCAGTCTGGTCCTCTTCTATGCCATAGGCCCAGTCCCAGGAGCTCAGAGAGGGAGGACAGCTGCCACTCAGGCGGTATAAATAATCCAATTTATTACTTTTATTGAGAACAGGAAGCCACACACATTACGATACAAAGTCACCGTTCTCGCCGCAAGGAGCCACCACCATTCTGTGAGGAAAGTCCCTTCCAGAGCCCCTGCGGGTGGGCACCAGCCCGGAGGGGCCTCACCCCTTCGCCCGCACCCATGGCTTCCACACCCTGCAGACTCAGCCTGGGTGTGAGCCCCAGAGGAACCCAGCAAGGGCGCCGGGAAGGGCCCAGAAACCAGCCCTGCCTACCCTGGTGGGGCCTTGTGGGGTCGTGGTGGCCCCGACCCGGCCGGAGCAGTGACCACTATGCCAATGTTCCCACCTGCCAGCTGCTAAGGAGCAGAAAGTGAGGCGTGGGCAGCCGCATCTTTGGCTAGGAGGACGTGGCCTGGTGGCCACCTCTCAGAGGCTGGGGACAGCCAGTGCTGACTGCAGGTGAGGAGCAGGGCCTCCTCGCTGCCCCTGCTACACCCACTCCCGAGACACACAGGGACCAGGTGCCCGCTCCTCGAGGGACTCACTTCTCCTGGAACTGGAGGAATCCGGGTTTGACCTGGGGCTTGGCGTTCTCTAGAGAAGTCGTCGCCAAGGGTGAGGCGGGCAGGTGAGGCACTGACGCGGGCATCTGAGGCATCTGGGGTATGGCGGAAGCCAGCTGCTTCCAGGCGAGCAGGGTGGGGGTGGAGGGCACCGAGGCCGAGTTGGGAGTGGGCCCTTCCAAAGAAGACCCCGGGACTGTGGTGCCAGTGGGTGCCGGAGGGGACGCGGGTGCCAGGGGAGGCTTGGTCTCGGCGGCAGAGGCTGGGAAAGAAGCCTCTGCATTGCCTTTCGCTGCTCCTCCCTCTGTCCGGAAGTGGAAGCTGGGGACAAAAGGGGGTGTCTGAGGTAGGGGTAGGGGGCGCCCGCTGACAGGTCTGCCCTTCCCTGGCTGCACTGCCCCTGTCTCATCCCAGGCCGAGGGTCCAGCATCCCTCCCCGTTCCCAGCACAGGCTCAGCATGTCTCCCAGGGTCTGCCAGACAGGACTTGAGAAAAATGGCTGTGTCCTCCAGTTCTGCACCAGGGATTCCCTCCTGGCCTCCGCTCCTGGCCCTGACTATCACTTCCTTCCTGTGACCTGCTCGTGTCCCAAGCTTCTGCACTTAGGTGTGTGTGCCTGTGTGCATGTGTGTGTGTGTCCCCAGGCCCTGCCTAGTGTCTGCTCTTCCTCAGAGCCTGCCCTGGGGTTCACAGGTTCTGCAGGCTCTCCCCAGGTGGGGACCAGCAGCTGGGGACGCCTGCGGGGGGCTGACCGGTACCCGGGAGCCACCCGTTCCACAGGTTGTCAGGTTCTGAAAACCAGCCTTTGCACTGGCCCCTTTCTAATTCCACACGATTTACACACTCAGCTCCGTATGTAGGTCAAAGGGAACCTAAAGATGCCACGTGAGGCTGGAGAGGCCGTGGCCTGCCCTAGGTCTGAGCTGAGCCTCTCCGGTGGGACTTCAGCCCCTTCTGGCCACTCTGCAAGGGCATTTGTGGCCAGGTTGCAGTCTCTGCCTGGCCCGGCACCACAGTGGCCAGTGCTCAGGGCCTCACGTAGGGTCTGGGCCAGGGCTGGGCCTGTGGCGGCGGCTTGTGGAGTCTGGAGCTCAGCATGCAGTCCTGCTTGGAGGGGCTGCTGGGGCCTCGCTGGGCCCTGGGGCCCGGGGACCCCCACTCACTTTGCGTGCTTGATGGCCCCGTCCAGGGTGCTGAAGAGCGCGCCACACTCCTCCACCACACAGTGGAAGTGGGCCTTGTGCAGAAAGTCACACTGGGCGTCACAGAAGTCCTTGGTACCGAACCTGGCGGGAGCAGCCAGCCGGTTAGAGGAAGGGCCGGGGTGGGCAGGCCGGGCTCCCGCAGGCTCCAGCCTCACCTGCGGAGGTACGCCTTCCAGGGCTCCGACAGCTTCTCCTGAACCAGCGCCTTCATGGCCTTGCCCAGGAAGGGCGAGGGCTCCACCGTGGGGCTCCCATCTGCTTCCACCTTGATGTTCAGCAGGCCGCCGAGCCCGGGGTTGCCCTGAGACATCTGTGGCGACAGAAGCTGAACTTGGGGCAGGAGGACCCCTGGACAGACCTGCCCCAGCACGGCTGGTCTGAAGGGCTCGGCCTGCCGGGCCGAGGGAGAGGCAGGGCCCCGCTTCCCATGCAGCCCCTGCGCCGCAGGAGCTGCCGTTCGAGCCGGGTGCTCCCGGGCAGGCGCAGCGCAGCCTGTCTCCCCCAGACTTTAGGCTCCCTGCTTATTTTCCTGCCAGAAGATTTTCAAAAGAAGTGCAGGAGGAGGAGGAGTGGGGGGAACCCCTATGAATTCCTGGAGAACAAGAGAAGGCACACAAAGGAGCAGGGAGCCAGGGAGGGGGGCGAGGCTGCGGGGCGGGGCAGCACCCCAAGGAGACCAGGAGGACAGGCGGAGAGGGAAGGCGGGTGCCAGGGCCTGGGTCGCCGGGCATCGAGCCCATGTGCCCGGCCAGGACCCAGCCTGGAGGCCCAGCCCTCTTCAAGCCAGTCACTTGTGTACAGTAACCAAATTAATCTTGCCGCAGTCAAATTTATCATGTGAAGGGGAAAAATATATTTGAGATGATATATAATTTACAAAGACCCTGCATTATTTAAAATAAATATTCTGGAGCGACCTCTCTGGGAGGCGTCCGAGACCATTAGTCAACCCGAAAAGTGGAAATTGATGGTCGGCTCCCACTTTAGTCTCCTGCCCCCACCCCACCCCTTTTTAAACAAACCAAAAAATAAGATATAAAATAAATAAATAACATTAATAACTGAGGGCAAGGGAAGTTAGAAGGCTCTGGAAAAGCTTTTTGGAGCCCTCCATCTGAAGGGAAAAAAAAGGTGTCAGAAGCTGGAATATATTTCTTCAGCCAGTTCATTAAATTAATTTGTAAGCAGTGGCTCTGAAATTATATTCGATGAAAAATGGCCTCAAAATTTAAATGGTACAAACTCATCTTATTAGAAGGAAAACATTAAAAAACAAACACATCCCCCACCCCCAGCACAGCTTTAATTTCTCCGGATGGGGGACGGGAGGCGTGTGATGGATGGCTCTTACCTTATTCATAAGCGAGGATAAAAGAGATGAATTGGCTGGGACTGCGTGGCCATTTGATTCATTACTGGAACACACAAGCCAAGGGGCTTCGGCTCAGATGTCGGGGTACCGAGTCCAGCAGTCCACCCTTCCCGGCCACGCCAGGGCTCCAGTGTGGCCTGTTGCCACCAACCCAAAGGGAGGTCGAGCCGCCCGACCCAGCCCTGGGCCCAGCTCTGGGGGTGCTGCCACGTGGCCTCGCCTCACCTGGGCTCCTTCACAGTCAGGTCAAGACTGCGGTCCTGGGCAGCCTCGTGTGGGCCCGGGGCACCAGCGCTGTCCCCGCTGCAGGGCTCCTGCTTCACCTGGGCTGGGGGGAACCTGGCGGGGGCGGCCGGCTGCCCACTTCCTGCAGGGAAGGGGAGGGAGAAGAAGGTGGGCTTAGAGGGGCTGAGGCTTCTGGAACATCAGTTCCCCCCTGGGGAGGGATGCATCCGGGCGGGCCAGGGGCCCCCGAGGAGCCCTAGCTGCTGGTCAGCGATTCTCCCCACTGACGTGATCACTTGCGACGCTTACCCCTGTGTGGCAATTCTTCAAGTGATAATTATTGCAAAATTATGTCAAAGTTGTCCTGGCTCAGGGCCTCCTGGAGGAGGAGGGCGGGAGGCTGGGGCCCTTCATTTCCTCCACCAACTGTCACAGTCGATTTGTGGGGCTGCCGCTTAAGCTTTTATTAAAGACTCTGTTAATGCTGAGGGAAAGTGGCAGATCTGGACTGGGAGCGGCCGCCTGGTCCCTGGCCCGCTGTTGCTGTTGCCGGGCGACGGCCCTGCCTCGCACTGAGCATGCCCGGGGAGGCCTCTGCTGTGTCAGGGCCGCGGGGGCCACGGCCAATCAGACTGTGACCTCGCGTCAAGCTGTCCGGGGCAGGGACTCAGGCCCACCCCTGCGGACAGGACAGGCGGGCTAGGCTGCGTCCAAGGGGAGCGGGGCGGGAAGAGGCTGCCAGAGGCCAAGTGGGGCAGGGGCGAAGGAAGTTGCTGACGGGAGTGTGTCCCGAGCCTTGCTCCACAATCCCCAAGTGACTGAAATATTAATTTGCCCCCAGGCGCTACAGCTGACAGAGAGCTGCTTCACAGACAGCAAGTGCCATTTTATTAAAAATAAAGGCAACATCCCCTCCCCTTCCTCTGACCTTTCTTTTTGGGGAAGGAGATTTGTCTAAGGGAAAGAAGTACTTGACAGTCTGGCCGCCGAGCCCAGGTGGCTCTGGAGCAGGTGCTGCCCTCCTGCAGCCCTCAGTGTGGGCCCCAGGCCAGGTCCCCTCCAGCTCCTGGAGCAGACGCTGGGTCCTCCCGACTGCCCCCTGAGGGGACATGAGCGGCCCTCTGGAGGCCGCACTCCAGCAGGTCCTGAAGTCACTGGTCCCTTGTGCCCAGGAAAGTGGGCCCAGCATAGGCAGCCTGGAGAGGCGGGGACCCTCTGTCCCGGCTGCTTCCAAGACAGTCTCTGAGGGAGCCGAGCCTCGGTGTTGACTTTACTGCTTGTAGCTGTGGCCTGGGGACAGAGCGTCCTCCCTGCCCCAGCAGCTCCACAGGGCAGGGCTTCTGTTTGTCCTCTTGCCTGTGTCCCCAGCACAGCTCACTGTTAGCCCTCAGGGAGCACCCAGCAAGTGGCCCTGGACAATTACCAGTGGTTGTTGAATGAATGAATGAAATGAGCCACATCCAAGGCTGAAGTCTTCACAAAGACCAACTAATGCTTATTAGCTAGATGGGGAAGCCAAGGGAGAGGAGGAGGGAAAGGAAGAGCTAAGTCAGACAGATAGCAGGGGGAAGCAGGAAGAAAGTGAGAGGGAGGGTGAGGGAGGGAGAGAGAGGCACCAGGGGAGCTGCCGCACAGGGAGCTGGTGCGAGCCCTGAGGTGCAACTGTGCCCAGCCTCACATGGTACCACTGCCAGGGGGCTACTTCATCACACTAGCCAGTTTCAAACAGCTACAGCTGGTGGCTGCCAATGCTGACAGTGCAGAGCAAAAAGTTCTTAGGCCTAGAAAGTTCTACCAGGGAAGAGCCCAGAGGGGCTCCCTAGGCGAGACAAGCAGCCACCCTGCCACTGGGCCAGACTTGTCCTATTCCGAGTCAGCTGCAGGAGATGGAGGGTGGAGAGAACAGGTCTTTTTGGGACCTATCAGTGATGGGAGGGGTCCCGGGCACCTCTGGAGCTAGGGACTCTTACCCTGCTTCAGGGAAAACAGAGGGAGAACATCTGGTGGCATTTTGGCCAGAGGTAGGCGCACCAAAGAGGAGATAAAAAGGACAGAGGCAGAGACCAGGCAAAGAAGGGGCCTGGCTGGTGGGAGACCAGGGTGCTCGGCCCTGACGGACAACCGTTCCCACACTCCCCTGCTCTGCAGCCTGGGCCCGGGCAGCTACTGGGGTCGACAGGGTGCCTGCTTCCTGGGCAGCGCCCAGCCTGCTCACCTGAGTCAAAGGTGGCAGAGGGCTTGAGGGCGGCCGCAGCCAGTCTGGCCATCATGGGCGAGATGAGGCCTTTGCTTGCAGAGATCCTCTCCATGATGGAGGCAGGGGCCACTGGCACAGAGGTGGCAGCTACCGGGGCCGAATCTCCAGCTCCGGAGGCCACCAGAGCAGGCGTGTCAGGGGCTGCCGAGGCCGCTGCCCCTGATGACATGGCACCCAGGAGGCCGGGGGCACCCACGGGCAGGGAAGTGCTCCCCCTTCCAGGAAGCAGGGGGAAATAGGGCGCGGTGGTGGGCAGCCCAGAGTTGGAGAGGGCCAGGGCCAGTGGGATGGAGCCAGGCAGGCCCTGGGGCAGCAGCCCCGAGACCTTGCTGTTGGGAGGCTTGGTGGCGCTGGGCATGGCCTCGGTGGCGGTGGTGGCGGTGGCGGCGGCGGCGGCGGCGGCAGCCAGGGACGCGGAGGACTGCTGGCTGGTGGGGGAGGCGCTGAGGCTGGAGTTCTTGCTGCTCAGGGCAGAGAAGTCAACCAGGTCGTCGTTGCTGGACTCCTCGTGCTCCGTGTCCTTGGCGCCCAGCAGCGAGGGCGGCAGCCCCAGCACGCCGGAGGAGCGGACGTGGCGGCGCTCGTGCTTGCGCTTGTGGGAGGTCATCTGGCTGGTGGAGGTGAAGGTGAAGCCGCAGCCGGCGCGGATGCAGTGGAAGTGGTTGGTGGCCTTGCTGTACACGCAGCCCTCGTACTTGCACTCCTCGTACTTGTAGAACTTCTTGAAGCCGTCCTTGGCATAGGCGTCGTCCTTGATGTGGTAGCTCTTGTGCTTCTCGATGTCACACTTGTTCTTGAAGGTGAATGTGCAGCCGGGGCGCCTGGAGGGGACGTTGCAAGCTGTCATGGGACCTCACCCCCAGGTGGTCCGCTGGGCCAACGGCCACGGCTGGACTAAGCCAGGGCCTCTGGCCCCAGGTGCCTGCCCCTGCCCTCCCCCAGCAGGAGCCCCGTGCCGCCTGCCTACCTGCAGTGGAAGTGCGTGGTTTTCTGTCCGTAGAACTGGCAGTCAGCCGTGCCGCAGTCCTCGGTGGCTCGGAAGCGCTGGAAGCCATCGTTGATGAGCTGTGTATTTTTCTTGTGGAAGTTCTCGTGCGTCATCACGTCGGACGTGCTTGTGTACACCTTGTTACAGCCCACCTGTGCGGGCCAGACCACAGTCAGGGAGCTGAGGCTCAGTACTGCTGGGTGACGTCAGAGCTCTGGGAGTGGCTGGAGCCGCAGGGTCTCAACTCAGGGATGTGCCACCTCTAACCCTCCACGGCCGCCTGTCCCCTGAGGCCCTGAAGCAGAGCTTCTGAAACAACCCCCAGGCCACCTAGGGAGGGACCAGGACCTGCCCGAACTGAGGGCTGAGTGTTCTCAGACTCCACACTCTTGGGGACCAAGCGAGGGAGCCCCACTTGGCAAGGGTTGAGCTTTGCATCCCAGTCTGTAGCACTATGGCTGAAGCCCTTGGGGGTGGGCAGGGGCTGAACCTTGGAGGTCACCTTTAGCTCAGTGACTTGCTCAGTGGATGGCTCCCGGGCACAGGGCCCTCCCACCCACCGCAGCTGGGCCAGGCAGGCAACGTTGCCATATTGAGTAAAAAGCAGTGGCTTCTAGCACCCTTGACGGCTGGGCTGTGCCAGTGTCTGCACCATCTCAGGCCCAAAGGGTGGCCCCCCTCTCCTCTCGCCCAGGTTGCTCCACAGGGCCATAACAACCCCTGACAAATATGAGGGGGGCGCGGAGGCTGCTATTTGCAACCCAAAGTTGCTCCTCTTGGGTCTGACACCTTGAAAAAGCCCAGACTCTACATGGCATTAAAACAGAGAATTAAACAAAAACCTCCTCAGGAATCATTTGCAATGCTGCTCTTGGTGTTAAAGCCTGAAAAATGTTAGTCTGTATAAACAGCTCACTGAATTTCCCCCATACCAAGTATGGCCACGGGGAAGGCCCCGCCCTGGCCACCAGATGCTGCCCTTGCCTGAGCCCCTGGACTCGCAGCTCTCCCGGCACCTCTGGCCCAGGCCAGGAGAAAGGGAGACTTTTGGTCTACCAGGGCCTTGCCCCAGAGTGAGGGGCTATGGGGAGGGCGTATGCTAGAGTACGCTGCCTGGGCCCTCGGGCGTGGTGCTGGGAGCGGGGCGGTGGCACCTGCATGCAGTGGTAGTGGGTGCTCTTTCCATTGAGGTGGCAGCCGTGGTAGTAGACGCTGCAGTCGTCCAGGGGGCTGAAGCGCATGAAGCCGTGCTGCAGGGAGTTGTCGCGCTTCTTGTGCATGTTGTAGTGCCGGATCACATCCTGCTTACTCGTGAACCTCTGCCAGGAGACAGCGCCCAGTTGGCAGGAGCCCTGGCCCTAAACTCGAGTGCCAAGAGTGCCTGGACCAGGGGCTGGCACCGGGGCCCCTCGGGTCACCCTATAAATAAGCCCTCCTCAGGGCTGAGGCTGCCCAGCTAGTTCTAGGCACGCTGACCCTTGGCTGGCAGAACTTCAAGGGCCAGGGAACCACAGACCCTTCCCTGACCTCTCCCTGGGCTCCCAACAGCCAGATCTGGAGCATCAAGTTGCTGGGTGGGCCCTGATGGCCAGCACTCTGAGGGGAAACAGTGTGTCCTGCCCAGAGCTCCTGTGGGCGATGCCAGGCTGAGCTCCCTGGAGACAGAGGGAGTGGTGTCTGCAAACTGCCCCACACTGCCTCTTGGCTAGCTCTGTACTTTCCACCTGAACCTCAACTTTTCACCATGAAAATGGGGAAAACACAACTTTGGAAGGCTCTGGAGTGCTGGTCAGCTAATGTCCACAGGCTGCCTGGAACAGGCCTTGGTTTACTCTAGACTGCAAGGCAAGGGACCCAGAATGACCATCCCCAGCACGCTGACCACTGCGGACCTGATCGGCTTGCGATGGCTCACCAGGAATCAGCACCCCCACCCCACATCCGACAAGAGGCCCCGTGCTGTGCTGGCGGGGGGAGGGTTGCACCCCTTACCTGGTAGTTGCACTCGGGGTCTAGGCAGTGGTAGTGCTCGCGGTACTGGTAGGCGCAGTGGATGTGGCCGCAGTGCTGACTTCCTGAGAACCTGAAGAGACACAGGTGGGTCAGGCTCCTCACTGGGTGACAGCCCTGGGGATGGCTCTTCCCACACCTCAAATGTGTGCTGCTGAGGTTCGGAGGGTCTGGGTGGGGACATGAGGGGACAGGCAATGTGGCAGAGGCCTGGGGATGCAGGGGCCAGTGACAGCTTTCTGTGTTCCAGCATCTGCTCGGGGGCGAGTGCCAGGTCAGATAAAGGCCTGGCGCCAAGTTGGGAGGAGACCCGCAGCCCCGGGCAGTCCAGTGGCCTTCGTCCAGGTTGTGCCCTGATCAACGCCCCACCTTTCCAGCTGCAGCCGGGGAAGGGACCCAGGCTGGCTCTGCCCAGGGCTCTGTTACTGAGAGGTATTAAAGGGCTCTCTCTGTTCTGGGCTTTTCCTGACACTTGAAACGGTCCAGAGTTATGAATTTTTAAAGCACGGCATCTGTTTGGCTTCCTGTGGTAGGGAGCTCACTCTCCAGCCAAATGCATGACCAAGAGCCCCACGCTGCGGGACCCCAGCGGCCTCCCAAAACAGGGAGGGTCCCTCGCAGCCCAACACTGCTGGGGGTGGATCCCCCACCGGTCTCAGGGAGAGGAAACCGTGCGCGCGTCAGAGAAGGTGCCTCTGGCCCCTCCACAGATGACGCAAGGCAGGAGAGGGGAGGAGCCCAGCGTAAGGGGGGAACCACTGCAAATAGACACTGCAACTGAAGCTGCCAAAAGGGCCATCTGCTGAGGCACTACTACTAATGACAGCAATGATAATAAAGAGCAGAGGGCTGGGGAGGCAGAGAGACTGAGAGGGGCTGCGGACAGGCAGGTGCCCCGGGCACGGGCTCTACGCGCTGCCTGCCACACCCCGACCTCCAGAGGACCCACGTTGGGGATACTGAGAGGGGTAATCCCACTGCTCTCGGGATGGAAATGGGGCTCTCATGTCAGGTACAAGCAGGGCCTTGCTGGGGAGACACCAGGGCACCAAGTCAGAAGGGGCTGCCCCCACCCTTCTCAGTCTTGACACCTGCCCAGGGCTCCACGGGAGGGCTTGGCCCAGGCCCTCGGGCTCCTCACACAGGGCAGCCCCGCCTGGGAACAAGCTGCCGAAGGGCAGTGCGGCCTGGCTCAGTGAAGGGCAGGTCTGCAATGGGCTCTCGGCGTGGTGAGAGCAAGCGGGAGCAGAGAGGGCAGAGCCTTGCCTTCCTGGTGGGCAGCGTGTGTCTGTCCCTCATCCTGGGCATCCCTGGCTCCCCCCACCTTTCCTGCACACAGCCTCCTCCCCAGGGGCCTACCTGGCAATATATTTCTGGTAAATGTTTACATCTTCGGTGACAGCTGGTTTATCTGTGGGCAATCCATTCCTGGTGAGACACACAGGGCACAGCCAATTAGCAGACGGGGGTGGCCTCTGCCCCAGCAGCTTCTGGTGGGCAGCTCTGCCCTGGGCCCTAGCCCTTCTCTCCTTGACTATGCAGGTTTTTTGAGCCCTCGGAGTGGGACTGGCAAAGTCCCCAGGCAGAAGGCCAGCACAGGCTCAGTTAGCCCAACTCTGATGCAGGCTGGAAGGCCAGGCTTAGTGTCCACCAGGGCAGAAGCCTCCAAAGCCAGAGCCCAGTACCTCAGCACTGAGCGGGGAGCAGCAGGCACCCAGGGAAGGAACACAGGAGCAGGAGGGTGGCCCTCAGCAAGACGGAAGCATCTTACCCCCTCGTGCCACCCCCCAGCAGGAGGGTGCAGCCTGCGTCCACCTCAGGGCCCTATGCTTCCACTGCTGCAGTGCAGGAAGGGGTCTGGGCAAAGGTCTCGCTCAGTGGCCCAGGGCCCAGGCCATGGACCTGGGCATCCCTATGGCGGGCTGTCTTTGCCAACCACAGCCTGCACCATTCTTGTGGCAGCACGGCATGGGGGTCAATGGTGGCCCTTGATGTGCATGTTAGCAAAAGAGAGGTCCACACCGATGCCTGGGTGTGTAACAGTGTGTGGGAGAATCTGGGGAGACGAGTTGTGTGCAAGCAGAGGCACGCAAGAAAGTGCAGTTCCCGGTCACTGTGTGTGTGCATGTGCGTGTGTAAGCATGTGCCCAGGAGTCTGGCATGAGTGTCCAGGTGCACAGGGGTGGGGGATGTGCCCACTCCCGTGAACACTACAGGAAAGGAGCAGGCCTCTCAGGAGCACCCAGTCCTGCCCCGGGGCTTGGGTGGCAACAGAAGCGGGGAGCACCTTACTTGACGGTGGAGACGGTCCCCGTGGTGATGGAGTCTGTTTTGGAGAAGGTAGACTTAAGGTACTCGGGAGCGTTGAAGGACAGTGAGGCGGGTGGCTCGGGCCCCGGCCCGGGGGCACTAGGAGCGCTGGGCACACTGGCGAGGGGTGCAGGAGCCAGGCTGGGGGTGGGCGGAACCTTGGCAGGGCCGGGCTTCTGGATGCCCCGGACATCATACTTGGAGGGGCGCCCCACCTTGCCTGTCTTGAAGGCGATGGCCCCGCCCATGTCAGGGCTGCCCTCCCCGGGTTTGAAGAGGTGCAAGTACTTGACGTTCTCCAGGTCATACTTGGATGGCTTCTTGTAGGTGCTCCCGTTCTGGGGCCGCAGGTTCTCGCCCGTCTTCAGCTTTTGGATGAAGAAGTCGTACTTGGAGGCACGGGCTACTAGGTTCTGCATCTGGACGCTGCTGTGTGATGGCAGGGGCAGGATGGTGGCCTTGGTCTCCAGGTGGGTGGTGTTGCTAGGCAACCGCAGGCTGGGCAGGGGACCCACCACCTCCTTGCCCGCCCGCTCCTCCGTCTTGGTGCTGTGGGCTGGCCAGGAGAGCTGCTCCCCGGCCTTGAGCTTGCGGATGTACTCCTCGTACTTGGAGAACCGTGCCCGCTTGCTGAGGGCGTCCTCTGCGGTGGGCAGCATGGAGGAAGTGGCCGCCTCGGGGGTGGAGCCTGCATGCAACTTCTCGAAGCTGATCTTCCTGGCCAGCTCGTCCCTTGTGTTCTGGTCATCATAGCCAAACATGCCAAGGAACTCGGTCATGGTGGAGGCTGCATAGTCCCGCAGTGAGGAGGCCTCTCCTATGGGGGCGGAGAGAGGCGGGTCACCTCTGGGAAGGGACAGAGCCCCCACGCATGGAAGGAGGGGACACACATGGGGAGGGGCAGAGCAGGACATGATCTATGGACATTTGGCTCACTTGTTAGGTTTTACGACTCTTAAATTAATTTGTTTTAAAAAAAAGTAATTAATACTGGGGTAAAATAAAACGAGTTCATCAATGCCAGGAAAATCAATTTCCTAAATGTTCTGGCCGATGGCTTTTCAGTACATTAAACAAAGTTTCATAAATGTCTCCACTCTCTTGCCTTGGCCTAATATGAAAGAGAAGTCATCTCCCTGGAAGTGAGGCCAGATCCCAGCCTGCCTCCGAGGCAGGGGCCGACCCCGGGGCCAGGGAACAGGTAGGGGCGTGGGCGGTGGATGGACAGTCAGGAGGGGGTAGGGGTGAGGAAGATGGGGGGTGGGGGTGGGCCTGCTGGGGAACCTTCTGTGACCCTCACAAATGGGTCTCCAGGGCTTGTCCAAGGCACTCCATCGTCTGGCCTCCTAGTCTCTACCACAGAGCCGGTCAGGGACAGGGACTATGTGGGTGTGGCACCCAGATTTAGGCATGGCCCCTCCAGCCAAGATTCATATTGTGGACAACCTGGGGAGTGGGTGACCCAGGAGCTCAGGACTGGGCTACAGCAAGCCTGGCCCTGGTGGACCCAGCCACCTCCCACAGGCCATAGCCAGGGCCCATGAAGAAGCTGGTGACCTTTGCTGGGGGCACACACATTTCCTCTCACGTACAATGACACATGCACACACTCGTATATGCACGCCCTCAAACACACATTCACACACATGCACTCTCACATGCCACGCGCATATCCAGGTGATCAAAACATACAATGGAAATTTAAGTTTAAAAAACTTATTACAGCAAAAAGCACAGTGCCAAGTGTATTCAGAGTGAGGGGAGAATTTAGAGTGGGATTAAGAGCAATGTGTCTTTCACTGTAATAGTTTTTAAGAAGGTAAAACATTTACCATAATTTCTGATCTGCACATACATACACGCACACTCATGTACAGACACACCCATGCTTAGACTCACAAGGAGGTCTCCTTGGCCGCTTCCTGTCAATTCTGCAGACACACATGGGCACAACCCCCACATGCCGGGGCACAGCAGATGCGTGGTCCCCCACGCTCATGTGCTGGGCACGCTCACTCCTCCACTAAGCCATGCCTCACACTCACTGGGGCTCTACTCCAAATCAGGGTTGGGCGTCCTCAGGCCAGAGATGCCTACACAACCCAGGTGACACCAGGCTTTCTCCTCTCCACAGAGGTCTGTCCTGGTGTCCCAGGCTGGGGGTCCTAACAGCACAACCAAGAGAAGACATGGCACGAGGGGCTCCTCCTGATGTCACCCAGGCTTCAGAGTAGGGGCGAGAAACCCAAAAGGGTGCAGAAGGAGTGACCCTGAGCTTCTGGGGAGGGAGCAGTCCTGGGGGCAATTGGGACCCCACCAGGTGAGGAGAGCACGGCTGAGCAGAGTGACTCCAGGAATGGACAGCCGGCTGTGGTCCTGGCAGAGCGGGCGGGACAGCTCAGCCACTGCCTTGAGCTCCAGCCCCACAGGTTGGGGGCCCAGTCCGGGAGGAGTGGGCTCTGGCTGTTCCATGCAGTGGCTCAGGGACCAGGAAAAGGGGCTAAAAATAGCTGGAGGCAGCTGAGCCCTCACTATATATGGCAGAGAAACCGAAGGCTCTGAAGGGCAGGCAGCTTCGAGCAGGGAGGGGGCTGAATGGGGGTCCCTGAGACAGCCCAGAGTTCTGGAGCCCCAAGGCCAAGGCAAGTGGCCTGGCAGCGGGGCTGGCCACCTGGCTCAAATACTCAGGGTTGAGGGGCAAGGCCTAAGGCCATGGGCCAGGGCCAGCCCTATCCCTGCGCCAGGCAACCCCCATCCCTGCTCCGGAAAGGGAAGGGGCAGGAGGTGAGGCCTGGTCCCCCACCTCACCACGGGAGGAGCTGGGTGTGCGGGAGTATTGAAGGGACAGTGGTCCTTGCCAGGGTCCCCCTCTTCTCCTCGGGCCCAGCACAATCACCTTGTGTCTGGCAACAGCAAGGGCTTTTCCTATCAGAGGAAACTGAAGGTCACACTTTTCCTCATTGATCTTGCAATGTTTGTTAATTACTCTGTCACTGATGTGGCGAAGGATAATTAAACAGCTCTGTTTATATCTTATATGCATAATTATGTGGCTGTGCAGGGCTCCCCGCACAGGGAGGAGATGCGCCCCTTGCTGCAGGGGGAAGGGGACAGGGGAGCAGGCAGGGAGGCACAGGGCTCCAGGCACAAGGCTGGGAAGGAGGCTGGGGGCTGAAGCAAAGGCTCTGGCCCCCAGCTCCAGTCCTGGTGGGGACCCCTGCCCACCAGCCCACCGCCTTGAAGCAGAAAGCTCCAGGCTGCCTCAAGTCCTAAGCACGAGGAAACACTGGAGAAGCCGAGCCTGCGTCTTCTCCTGGGAAAACCAACCAGAGGACCGAGTCCTGTGATTGGGTGGGACAGGATCTGCTGGCTGGGCCAGGCCAGCCTGGTGGCCCAGCAAGGTCCTGCTTGGGAGGGCCTGGAGGCAGGGTCCAGGGGAGCAGCAGAGAAAGACGTGAGAACAAAGCCTCGTAGAACTCCCTAGAGAGAGGATGGGGGCACAGAGTTCCTGGGGTTCACCTGGCCTCTGGCCTCCCTCTGCTCCCACACTCGAGGCCAGGTTCTGTGACTCCACGACTGGCTCATCCCTCTGCAGCTGGAAAATACCCGCCCACCCGCCACCTGTGCAGTCGTTGGTCCATCTGTACTCCCCCCTCCACCGGCTATTTCTTGAACACTCACTGCGGGAAGCTGCTTCTTTGTCACTCTGCGCCCTGCTCCCTGGGAGTCCTCGCGGGTTTGGGCTCAGCAGAGAGACGGGGAGAGTCCCCTGGACACACTGCCCCCACCCACCTCCCAGAGTGCTGCGCCCTTTCCCAGGCAGCAGCCTCTACTGCAAGGCCGAACACCCACCTGAGGCCTGCTTGGCACTGGGGCCACTGTCGTCCTTTGAGGCTGCCCCATCTGAGTCCTTCTCCTCGAGGCCACCCCCCTCTTTGGAGGGCTCTTCTGCATGGTCTTCCTCATCGCTGCAGGCCTGAGGCTGGACCATGTAGACACCCTCAGGTGGCAGCTCCAGGCCCTCTCGGGGGATTCGCCCCAACAGGGGCACGGGTGCTGGCTCCTCGCTGTACTCCCCGTTGACCCACTTTTCGATCACCGCCCGCCTCTTGTCTTCTTCGCTGCGGGGGGCCCGAGCCACCCCCGACTCGGGACCACTGCGCTCCTTGTCTCGGGGCCGCAGGGGGCTGCCCTCGGCCTGGGAGCCGGCCTCTGCGCCCTTCTCCACCACCACCTGGCGGCTCAGCTTGGCACAGATGGCGTTGAGCTTCAGGCCACCTTTGCGCTTGGCCGCCATCGCGGGCTTTCCTGCAGGTGGGTCAGGGCACCGGGTGCCTTCAGCTGCAGGGACGGAAGGGCAGGAGGTGAGAGGCCTGCGGCTGCACACAACTGCCCCAAGCAGACCATGTCCCCAAGCCGCAGGCCGCCCGGATTGACCACAGTTTTAGCAAACTGCCCTGGTGCCGCCTAGCATGTGCTTCTCTCCCCCAGTAGCCTGGGAGTTCAGGGCCAGCTTACAGGGCACTCCATCCACAGAGCCTGGCACACGGCGGCTGGCTCAACGTGAACGAATGGCTTCATACACAGGTTTTCTCCCTAGCAGCTGGTTCTTGGCAGCATTTCCTACATGTCTGATCTCAAAGAGCTTCTTGGAGAGGTGGTTTGCCCTGTGATACATGGGAAACTGAGGCACAGCAGGCAAAGGGGAGGAGGCTGTGCACTGCTGGCGGCCTTCCTGCAGGTGTGAGCACCACAGGCCCAAGGAGGACTGCAGGCGGCCAGCTTCCCGGCTGTGCCAAGCTCCAGCCTTGCTGTGCCAGCAGCACTTGCCTGGCACCTTCCCAGCTCAGCACCTCGGCCCCTGGCAGCCCCTCTGCCAGCCCAGGTGCACGGGCCCGGGCCCCGCCGCCTCTAACCCCAGCTTGCTGGACAGCAGAACTGTTCCCTTGGCTGCCGGCCACTGGGGGCTCTGGAAGGTCTCCTTTCCTCAGTGTCCCACCCCCCAGGGTCTGCCTGGCCCTGACGGCCTTGCTGGGCCCCCGGCCACTTCTATTGCTGTTTGCTTCCCCCAAGCCTCACCAAGAGGCCATCCCGGCTGGGACTCCTGCCGCTGTCCTGCCTCGTCCCCCAGCCCCGCCGAGCCCGGACGGGACAGGCTGGAACTGCCTGGCTTACCAGCGGCAGGCCCAGAAGCCTGCCGATCCCTGCCATGACAGCCCACACGAGCAGCTGGAAATGCTAACAAGGCTACTCGAGTGCTATCCATCCCCCACAGCTGCTCAGTCTGCACTCTGCCCGGCCAGGGCACCGAGGGGCGTGGGGGCCAGCAAGGGTGCACGTACACACGTGTGCTCGCGCGCATGCACACACACACACACACACACACACGCGCGCGCGCGCACACAGTGACCCCACGCATTCATCCATCTGCCTGTCCTACCCTCATCAGGGAGCCCCATTTGTGTGCCACAGCCTGTGGCGTAGCTGGGGACAGGGCAGCAGCCACGGCATGGTGTCAGCTCACACTTACTGTGTATTCCGGCCCCAGGAGAGTACATCTTTCCATGACTCCCACCAGGGAAATGGGTGCACCCCTATTGATCAGAAGGTTAACTGGGGTCTCTGCTCTACTGCTTATGGTAAGAAGGGATTCACGATGCTGGATCAGACACAGAAAACTCACTCTCCTAGGAGCCCACTGAGAGGCTGCCTCATGTCCACCCAGGGGCTACAGCCAGAGGTAACTGCACACACAGACAACTGTGCACACAGATGCACATGATGCCCAGGGGACCCAGACCCTTGCCTCCTCACCAGCTGCGGGTATGCTCAGCTTTGCCTGGCCCAGAGCAGACTGGACGGCAATCCAGCGCACTATCAGAAATGGGTCTGGTCAGCCTGGCCCTGGCCCTAACCAGACCAGGGCCCTGAACCCTTGCCCAAGCTGGATGCCCACTCTGCTGATGTCCCTCAGTGCTGGCACGGGCCTGCTCCTCGCAGCAGCAGGAAGCCCCTCATCCCCCCGTGCCCACTGAACCACCCGGTGGCCAGCAGGCTCTGTGGCACCACTCTTCCTTCAGAGGCCTCTGGGGCAGCAGTCCTCAACTGGTCCCCTCTGTCCCTTTCCCTGGGTGGAGGAGGGAAGGGCAGGCGTGGGGGAGCCTACACTATTTTTACCAGGAGGTAAGCAGCCAAGTGTGTATGGCAGACGGCAAATGAATCTATAAATATTTATCCCAAGGAAGAGGGAAGCAGAAGCTCCCAAGGCTGTACTTGCTGCTGTGACAGCCCCTCCCCGGGTCCCACCCATCCTGGAGCCCCCCCATCTTTAGTCCACGGGGCCCAGCCTCCCCTCTCCTGTGCTCGGCCCAGTGCCGGCTCAGTCCCGTCTGGGGCCCCCACCAGCTGTGATGCAGCTGTGCACCCAGGCCCCCCCCCCCAGCCCCCAGGCTCCTCTGTTTCTGCCAACTCCCTCTGCACCTGCCCTCCAGCTGCTGCTCTTCCCTGGCCCACCTGCCCTCCAGATGTTGCCCTCCCTCTGACTCTACTACTGGTCCCCAGGGTGGAGGTGGAAGAGCCACCCGGGCCTGGGATGCGGGAGCAGGGGCAGCGGCAGGGGCAGAGGCAGAGGCAGGGCTTACAGTTGTGAGTGGCAGCGCGTGCGACCCTGGGGCAGCGGGAAGGCGGGATATGGGAGCTGCGGGCTGCCTGCCTGTCTGCCGCCTTCCGGCCCACCCCGTGGGGCCTTGGACCCTAGGACCTACAGACTCCCCCACCCCCTGGCCTGACCCCCGACTCCTGTCCATGTAAACATTCCTTTGACTTTCTTCCCTAAAATATAAACGCCGTGGCCAGGCCTCAATGGAAGGAAGCCATCCGTCCCGGCCCTGTCACTGCCCCTTTCATCTCCTTCCCGCCACCAGCCTGCCCGCTGTTCTATTTACACTAGACACTTCCTTTGGGAACAATGCTGCCCAGGAGGCAGGCTCGGGGTGGGGATGGGAAGGAGAGGGGACTCCTGTTCTGCTCACCCCGACGGGCAGACTGGGGCAGGAGTGAGCAGCCCCGCTGGGCTGGGCAGGGAGCCCACTCTGCTCCCGGCAGCCTCCAGCCTCCGGCCTCTGGCCCTAGAGGCTCTGGACTGGTCAGAGCAATCCTGGGGAGGTGGTAGACACAGGTATGGCCTGGCCCCTGGGGTCAGAGCCGGGAGCCCGGCTCTCCCTGTGGGCTCTGGGCTGGGCACACATGAAGGGCTGCAGGTGAGGGAGCCCATCTGGGCCAGGTACGGGGCGTGGCAAGCCAGGTGCTGGGGAAAGGTAGCTAGGTACTGGGGGCAGACAGCAGGCAGATGTGGTACCACACCTGGCTCCAGGTCCCAGGACCAGGAACCTTCACTTCGCCTAGAAGAGACAGTGGGGAAGGGAGAAGCAGGAGGCCTGAGGCTGTCCCCCAGCCCTCTCCTCATCCTGGTGCCTCCTCAGCCACCCAGGTTCCAGCGCTTCCCTGCCAGGGCTCCAAACTCAACAAGCCCCTGCAGGCAGCCCTTGTCCCAGTGCTGAGCAGACCCTGCTGGGCTTGGGGAAAGACAGGCACAAAGTGACGGCCCTTACAGCAGTACCACGTCCCCAACTGCTGGCAGCGATGCAGAGGGCAGGTACTATCACTGCCCCACTGCACAGAGGAGGAGGTGGATCCTGAAACTACAGACACCATGCCAGCAGCTCCAGAAGCCAGGGCTTGGGTCTGTCCCCTTCAAGGCTCTGGGAAAGCTCTGGGAGGTTCAGGCCGCCACTCTGGGGCTCCTCTCCCCCTTCCCCATCTCCTCCTCACCCTCACTTCCTGTTCCCATAACAGGGAGCCTCCTAAAGTGTTAACTGCGATGGGTAAAATGGTGCAGCAGATTGCTACAATAAATAATTTACTGATATTTATAAATATTCAAATCAGCCAGCTTCAGAAATCGAATGAAGGGAGGGCCTCAGGAGAAGGGGCCCGTTATGGCACGGAGCTCGTCGCTCCCTCCGAAGCTGGGAAGGCCAGGGCTCCTGCCAGTTCTGGAGAGAAGGGGGGCTCCTGTAGCTGCACCTGGACTCCTTGTCCCCCATCTTCCTGGCTCAGAGGGTAGAGGCAGGGCGGCTGAAGAACTGCGCCTTGCTCACCTGGTCAGGGACAGGCCAGGCTCTCTGCCGCATTCTAGGGGAGGAGAGGCTTGGTGCCCACCGCCTGGGTCTGGGTCTTGGAGAAGCCTGTCCTGCCAGGGTGGGGGAAGTCTCGGGGGGCCGGGCAGGCCTGGCAGCCCCTCCCCACCCATGAGTAATGTGTTTTGGGGCCGGGCTGCCTGTCAGATACCAGGCTCCGGGTGCTTTATGGGCTCTGCTTGGTGGCTCTGAACTCCCTGGTAGGAAATAAAGTTCTCCCTGTGCGTCCCTTCTAAACATTTCACTCAGTGGAAACGGTGTTTAAGAAAAATGAGGACATATTTCTTCCTAAGGATGCAGGATCCCCTTTGGGCGGCCTAATGCCCGCTGTATATCAGGAGTAGGGAAGGCAGGGGCCAGCAGCCAGTCCCTTGGGGTGGTGATGCGGCCTTGACTGCCTGCTGCTTGGCAGCTTGGGGGTTCACGGGCACTGCCTGGATACTGTGGTACTGCCCTAGCCTGGGGCCTCTAGGTTCAGCTGACACTTCCTGAGCACTGTGCTGGGGGCATGCTGGGCACTTATGGTGCCCCTGGTGATGCCCCCGGGATCCCTGCGTGCCGGTGGTCCTGTCCCTGTTTCCAGAGGAGGCACGAGTGGCGAGAATGGTAACTGCCCACGATCACCAGGTCAGTGCTGCAGCCTAACTTTCCCTGGTTGTGAATGTCCAATGTCATGGTCTTAAACACCGCATGCATCTCCCACAGCCTTCCTACTGGCTGTCCTGGAGGCTCAGAGCCAGCAGACTGTTGGAAGTGTCCACCTTTCTGCCTCTTAAGAACTTGCACTTCATGGAGGACGAGCTCCAGTTTGGGGGCACCGCACCTAGGTCCATGCAACAACCCTGAGCATCTTCTGTAGGCCAGGCCCTGGGCTGAAAGCTGTGGCTACAACATGAACAAGACAGGCAGCCCTGGGCCCTGTGTTACCCTGGTTCCTGCAGCGTGGACGGTCCATTCAGACATGGCAGTGCATGTTTAAAAGTCATCACAAGAGCCAGTGCAGTGGTGAAACACACAGAGGCGGGTGGAAGTTTTTGGGCACGGAAGGCTCACCAGGCACCTGCTCCCTTCCCTCTGTCCACCTGAATGGTTCCCCCAGTCAGCACCGCCTCCTGGGAGAAGGCATCTTTCCCTCCTGAGCCC